CGGCTGTTTTGCTTTAGTTAGAAGGGGAAGAGTGAGGGGGAAGGATCCCCGTCTATTATGTTTGGCAGCCAGACAAAAGGACAAAAGAGAGATGGCAACAGAACTCAGATTAGAGAGGGCTGGAAAGTGAATGGATTGTGTGATTTCACTGGTTAGAAATGTCCAGAATAGGCCAGTCCATAGAAACAGAATGTGGATTCATGGTTGCCAGGGGCTGGGGCCAGAGCCCTCGGGAGTGGGGAGTGGTGCTCATGGGTACGGAGTTTCTTGGGGGGATGGGAATGTTCTGAAACCAGGCAGGGTGGTAGTTGCATAACTGTGACTATACTAAAACCTCTGAATTGCATTAAAATAGTGAATTTTATGGTATGTGAACTACATAGTAATTTAAATAATAAAGAAGACAAGTCAAGGGACTCACAGAGTACCTTGGAGAAGGGATCATAAGAAATGATATTTTCAGGGGCAGAATCCATAGAATTGCTGGACAAGTAACCAAAGTCCCAACCAGAAATGGAGAAGAGGTTTGTCCAAAAGGAGGATGAATGAAAGGCTGGGTTCTGGGCTGAAGGGCAGGAGTAGGTGGCAGGCCAGGGAGGGAGGCCCTGCCCCTGAGCAGAGATTGAAAGACCTATCTTCCAGTCTTGTTGTATCTTTGGATGAGGCCAATGGACGTGATGGTTAAAAGGCAATCAGACAGTCTAGATTTGAATCCTGGCTTTGCCACCAGTTTTGTGACCTTGGGCAAGTCAGCTCAGGCTCAGAAAAATGGGGGAAACAGTGCCTGATGTGGAATATGTTTTAGTTCAGAATAGATGCTGTAATAACCATGATGTGGTTATTTTTTTCCCCAAGCAAGGATTTTAGATAACATTTGAGTACTACTTTTAACTGCTGATCCTTTTCTTCAAGGAAAATCAAATAATGAGAATAAAGCGGAGTGCTCTTGCTGAATTGATCACCTGGTCCCCAGACTCTCTGGATCATAGTGGGGACCCTAGGGACTCCTGTGAAGCACATTGTGAAAACTGCTGATGTAGTGGAATCCTAGGCTTAGAATCAAAAGACCTGGAATCAAGCTTTGGCTGCCATTAATAAGCTGTGTGACCTTCATTCAGCAGGTTAATACCCACCCACCTTGGCCTCAGTTTCCTCACCCGTATAATGTAAGAGTTGACTAGGGCTGTGGCTTCAAACTGCTCCGTAAAGCTCTGAGAGTTCCAGAGAGGTGCCTCCGGAAGATGTGAGAGGGGAGCATGCTGGGTGTGGACAGGAGAAAAAATAATGGGAGGAAGGGAAGACCTGTGAAAGGGAGCAGAGACCTTAGGGTAGTAGCTGGCAGTGGGGGTACAGGCATAGGGGAAAGGAAAGCATTTCACAGGTGGTGGTGTGTGTGCAGGTAACACAGCAATCTTGTGCTGGTGGGAGTCTGGGAGACAGGCGGGCCAGGAGGGAATACCTGGAGGAGAGCGCGCGTGAGATCCAGGTACACCAGAGGGTTTGTCTTTGGGGACATGTGCAATTAAGTGTAAGGCAGGGATATCAGGAGGGCATGTGGGTGGGGGGCCTGATAGAAAGTATCTAGGAGAAAAGGAATAAAGTTACTAGGGAACTGTAGGACTGCCAGATAATGGGGTGCCCAGTTAGAGGTCTGAGGTCAGGGTTAGAATGTCAAGTGAAGCCAGTCAGCTTGGTAAATATCCTCTCCAGTAATGCACGGCTGTTTAGATGCCGCCTGGGGGAGGCAGCAGATGTTGAACTAGAGTGGACATTCACTGGTCAAAGTGTGTTAAGAAATTGAGGGTGTTTGTAAGAGGGGTTATTCTGCGAAACAGACTCTGAGCAGGTGAAGGTTGAAAAATATTTGCAGGCATTAAATATACCTCTAGGAGTTTATTGTTTTTAGTGAGAGCACACGTGTCCTGTAGAGCATGTGGGGTTAATGGCAGTTTTATAGAAAAGGAGAGGAATTCCATCCAAAGGAGCCACACTCAAGAAGGACATTTTATAGTGAATACCCCCCTTCATTGCTGCATCACTCAAATTCCTTGATTTATATTATGAACAATGTACCCAACCACTTAGATCTATTGCACGCTTATATAAATGGCCTGATTTCAGTGCCCGAACATAGATGTTCAATAATCATTTCGTGAATGAAACAACCTCAGTGTTAGGCAAATCTTACAAGCAGGTGAGAACCCATGTGGAAGTGTTTAGAAAACAAGTTTCTCCAGTTTTCCTATCTGGGTCCTACACAATCTTTTAATAGCTAATAGTTGGATTTAATAGGTACAGTTTTATTTGGGGAAGATGACAAAGTTCTGGAGATGAATAATGGTGATGATTGAATGACCATGTGAATGTATTTAACACCACAGGACTGTATCACTTAAGTAGGGGAAAAAATAGTTAATGGTATCCTGCCTGTAGATTATATATTGCCTGTAAAGAGAATGAAGTTGAGCTATACCTAATGGCATAGACTGAAATCCAAGACACTAAGTCAAGAAAGCATCGTGCATCAGTGTCGGTAGTGTATTCCTTTTAAGGAAAGACAAATGGTGACATATACTTATGCACATAGCATTACCTGTATATGAACATTATCTCCAAAAGTGTAACAAATCACGTTTACTCAGAAGGGCCTTGAGCCAAGGTAGGAGCAACATGTACTGTTCACAGTAAGTATTTTCATATCGTTGACCATGAGCATGTATTACTTTTTCAAATACAAGAATCTTAAAAAGTGAGTAGTGTTCCTTAGCCTAAATCACTGCTGTTGAATATATTCCTTAAAAATTGTCTTTGTTTAATTCTGTATAAGTGTTAGTCACCTGAGTCTCAGAATTACATGAGCGTAATTTTAAAGAGGATGCTGTAAGTGCAGAATGTGAATCTCAGACTTTGCAGTCATTTATTGGGTATGTTGAGGATTTCTAACACCCCTTTTTTTCCTTTTCTATGTGCAGCATAATAAGTGTGCCACATACTCTGTGGGAATGCAGAAAACTTACTCCATGATCTGCTTAGCCATAGATGATGATGATGATAAAACTGATAAAACCAAGAAAATCTCCAAAAAGCTCTCTTTCTTGAGTTGGGGCACCAACAAGAACAGACAGAAGTCTGCCAGCACCTTGTGCCTCCCGTCGGTTGGGGTTGCCAGGCCTCAAGTCAAGAAGAAGCTCCCCTCTCCTTTCAGCCTTCTCAACAATGACAGTTCTTTGTACTAGTGCAAGGAAACAAAAACACTCAGGCCCATAACATTTCCAGTCCTGACTAGGCCTTCATATTTGTGCTGTAATGGAAAATTTCTACCTACTCTCAAATGCTGTTTTCTCACAGTATAACCTTACAATGGATGTCTTTATGAATGAAATAAGAAACCTCTTGAAATTTGTGGATGGCAGCATATTGCTGCAAGTTATTTATTATATAAAGTATTGTAAATAGAATAGGGATGAAAATACAGCTATTTTTAACGGCTACAATTATGACTTTCAGTTACTATCAGTTAAAATGGGGTCACCTACATTGACTCTATTAGTTTCCAGGCTTGCGTAATATAATAGATCATTCCCTAACGCAGAATCCAGATGAGCCCAAATTAAGGCATGTCAAGGGACAATAATGATGGACTTAAATTGGTATTACTAAAAAGTTCCAAAGAGCTGCTTTCTAAGGGGAATTCATTCATCTGAATTTCTAAGATTTTACTATTATTTCTATATAATATGAATGCTATTTCCAGATAAAGTCTAGTGTCAAATTTGTCATGGCTTATTAGATAAAACAGTTTCTGAGTAATTTTTCTTCTAGTTACATGTCATTTAAAAGTTGCTGGCAGTGGCAAGTGTTAAATGAAGATGCTGTCTACAAGGTAGATAATATACTGTTTGATACTCAAAACATTTTTCATTTTGTTTAGAGAGTACATAATTGTATATTTTAAGAGTCTTTAAAATGAGTTGAATTTTATAAGGTAATGATGTAAATAATTCCAGTTTAAAGCTCTGTTTGACTTTTTAAAATGACATTTTTACTAATCGATTTCTCATGCTATAAGTTGGATGATACTGTGATTCTAATAAGATTCACTGTTGACATAGTACAAGTTATATAGCTTTAAAAATATAGCATTGAGATCTAATTTTGAGAGTTAACAAGAATTTAAAACATTCTCTAGTGTGCAATATCAAAAGTGAAGCAGTCCCTCTGAGGAAGGGGACCAACTGCTCTTAGGGCCATTTTTGTACAAATATTTAAATAAACACATTCATTTGCCTGAGTTAATGTTTTTCTTTACTTTCTCACTCTAATTCTTTCCTTTCAAAATTGTTTCTACCTTAACGCACAAATGACTTTATCACTTGATTTTTTAAGAGTTACTAACATGTCGCAAAACAGGACTTGCAAGTTATCTTAGTATCTTTGAAAGCATACGGCTTTTTTAATTGTGTTTATTTTTTGAGTGGGCAAAGGTACTTTTTGATCCCCAGCCTCCAGCTTTTCTTTCTAGATGCAGCTGCCCCTGCCGTTTTCCTGTGTATCTTCCCATTGTTGGGCTTTACATTCACAAACACATTCTCCACCCTGCCCCTCACCCCAACATGGGCTTTTTAAGTTGGAACTATATGCTCCAGGCTCTCTGTTCAGATGTGCCCAATGATTATAAAAAAAAAACTGTGCAGCCATGAAAGAAGTAAGGGAGGAAGAACAAAGTTTGTATGACGTTTATTTACACTGGCAGTAGTCCTCAAAGCACAGATATATTAAGACCAAACCTGAAGAACAGTGGCTCTGCCACCAGGAACAAGGGGCTTATGGTACACAGTGCTTCATTGTAGGTTTGTTTCCTTTAGAAGGTCATATCAATCACCTGAAACTTGGTAAGATCTTTCCATGACAGATGCAGGTCAAGGCCACACACTCACATCTGCTCAAGCTGGCTTTTTGCTGAATCTGAGAAAATGTAGTACCTGCTGTGAGAAGAGCTGTCACCTGGACTGTGTGAAGAACGCATGAATTTGCTGTGCTACTGCTTGTCCAACGACCTGCTCCAGTTCTTTGATGGAAGCATTACTTAGTTGCTGGATACTTGAGAACTTCTGAAGCAAAAGGGAAGCTTTAACTCTTCCAACTCCTGGGATCTGTTGTACAGTTCGAAGTAGAGATGGCTCAGAGATTAGAGCCCGTTTCTTCCTGAGAAAAGGGTTCTTACTGGGCTCTTTGGTTTGCTCTAGAACCTGAACCAAAATTAAAGAGCATATGAGCACCCTCTAGTGGACTAGCAGTCTTCTTACAAATTTGCTTGGTGGAAATTTGACTTTCCCTATTTGGTTCAGCTTGACTTACCACTACAAATGTTTACGCATACCATGAATATAACTTTTCATCAGCAAAATTATTGAAAGATGAGCCATATGGTTACACAAAGGAGTAAGATATGAACATTTTAAATAAAAACTTGGGTTTCTAGAATGTTTAGGATAAAAGTGATGAAAACGTACTCTGAGGAATTCAAACATGTTCCTATGATCAACTAAGAAACATTTCAGTTGTATGAGATTAAATGATGCCTACACCTAAATTGGACCTGCTTGATACAGGACCTGGAGAGATCTTGCCTATCAAAAGAGAAGCCTAGTCTCAATTAGTTGTAGAAACAGAAAAGGCAGATAATAGTATTACAACAAGGACATTAGGAATAATAAAGCAAAACAAATGGGGTGGAGAGCCATGGAGGGATCTGTGAACAACACAGGACTACACTTCTAATTTGGGGAAGATTTAAAATCAACAACACAATAACAAAAATTGATGCTTGGGCCCTGCTTCCACGTTCTGGTTTTCAATTGGTCTGAGGTAAGGGTCATGTATTATTTTGAAGTTTCCCCACAAAATTCTGATGTACAGTCAAGTTCAATAATTTTATACTAGGTTTAAAAACAACAGCATAAACTTGCACACAGAGTGCTGATACTTAAAAGATACATGAAGCTAAGCAGCTGCTGACATTTTCACCAGTGTCAAGAAAGAATGAGTGATGGAGTCCTCTCAGCCTGGTAGTCTAAAATCATCTTCCACTTGTTCACTTTGTTACACAGTTACCTAGAATGGGTGTCAAACTGAGCTGGTTGCAGAGGCAGCTTCTGAACTTAAATTCCTCTAAAAGGTTTTATAGCTCTGGCTGGTGGTATAGCTCAATGGACTGAGCACTGACTGGGCTGCAAATTGGAAGGTCACAGGTTCAGTTCCTAGTCAGGCCATGTGCCTGGGTTGTGGGCCAGGTCTCCATTTGGGGGTGTGTTAGAGGCAACCTACTGATGTTTCTCTCCCTCTCTCTAAAAATAAATAAAACCTTTAAAAGAAAGAAAAGATTTTATAAACCAACAAAGTGATTAGATTGGCTTGAGGGCCTTGGGAAGAAACCATAGCAAGCAAGGGCAGCAGCTAAACGATCCATGAAGGTCAGCTGACAGTCCTCCAGACAGTGCTACTGTGGAGGTGTAGAAATCAGTACTTACTAATTGGATAATGAGGCAGGACCCTTCCATCTGGTTGGCCACTGGAAGCAACACCATCCCAAGGTCCAGCACAGTAAACTTCTGTATGGCTGGGAAGTACTGTTCACTCATCTGCGTTTTTTCAACTATTACTATCCCTTGAAGATGACTAGACTTAAAAGGAAAATAAAAAACAACAGTAAACCATTTTGTAACAAAATTCTTTCAAGTTTAAGAAAGCTGTTGCTTCAAGAGTACTTGGAATGGCCAAATGCTTGCATATGAATTATTCCAAACACACGAGGGAAAGGGGTCTAGAAGTCAGTTTAAATGTCAGTTTCTTCAATTCAGTACTTACATTTCTAACTCGGACAAGCCTCTTTCGGTAGCTATTTCCAGCCACCAAATCGGCTTCCTTGATATAAAGAATGCAGGATCTGATAGATAAGTAGAAATCTACCGGTGCCAGGCCATCCTCAAAAACAAGCTTAATTTTCCCTTAAAATGAAGACAAGAAAAGTTCCGTGAGCTTTGGATGGCAGCAATTGGTAGACTTTTTTTAAAATGTGGGATTTGAAGAGAGAGGGTTTATACAGAGGGCAACCCACCGACCTTGCATGCCCTGTGCCAGCTGCGACCCACGCCATTTCTCATTGGCAACAATGTGCCCAAAAGGAACGTGCACAGGGCCTGTGCTATCCTCGGGGTTCCTTTCCATGGTGGCCTTGATCTAGAGCAGGAAATGCAAGGCGGCGTATGAGCAGGCTGTCCTGCACACGGACCCACATTCCACTCGAGGCTGCGGCCTCTTGGCAGGAGCTGGTCTACAGTGCTCTCTAAAGGACTGACTTATTTGCCAAAGTTTAAGAAACCAGGAAATTCCTGTCCTGTCCTGGTAGCCCGTCCCTCATTCTGGTCACCTGCCTGGCCTGTTAACACAGCTCTGTCCGCGCCATGGCTTCTCAGTCCAGACCTTCGTCTTGCCCGCCCTTCGCCTCCAAGGGCGTCAGATAGGCTAGGGCGTTAGAGATTGACATCTCCCCTGGCCAATAAGAGAACAGTTAGCGTGAACAGTTTCCGCCCCGGAGGGAATTTGAGTGGGACCTGCTGGTTACCAAGAGCGACGGGTATGAAGTATCCTTGGCGCTAATTGGCAGGCGAGAAAGCAGAGCCAGTAGCAGACGTGGTTGTTGAGAAGCCTCCTGAGTAGAAAAAGCGTCTGGGGCTAGGCCAGCGGGGGGGAAGGGTCTCGGGCTCTGAGGAGGCTTGATCGTCGGTCCAGACCCGGGGTGACTACTCCCCGCAGCAAAGATGCTCCTGGGGTTTCCGAGAGGCCGCAAGAGCCAGTTTGTAAGTAGATCCTCGCCCGGCCTGCGCCCTGGCCTGGAGGCCACGACTTAAGGGAGGAGGGCTTGGGATTTGGCCTGAGATTGAGGCAAGGTAGCGGCGGCACAAGAGGAAGTGGTTTTCCACTCTAGAAGCCCTGATGTTTCGTGTTCTAAAGAATCCTTTATCCCAGGATCAGCGTCAGTCGGACAGGAATCGCCCATTCTCCCCCACAACATTCGCTCCCCTTGTCTGGGAGTTCACTTCGGCGCGGCACAGACCTGCTCCACTTCTGGGTGTCCCCAGTGGGGAGTCATTCTTGATTCCTCCCCGCCACCCACCATGGACAACCTGTCAGAAAGTTTCATAGATTCTGTTCACCACATAACATCTGGCAGCTGTTCTTGTCCCCACCCTGTCCTCCAGCATCTACCTGGACTGAAGCCGGAGCTCCTCACTATTTATCGGCTTTTTTTTTTTTTTTTTTTTTTTTTTTGCTACTTTCTTTCTCAAGTATCCTGACTCCAACAGTCCGTTAACACAACCCCCCACAACCAATCAATTGATCTTACCAGTGTTCTTACTACCCTCCTTGCCAGCCCTAATTTCTATTAAGCAAACTCTCCATTATTTATATATAACTTTTCCTATGCTACATTTTACACTCCAATTTTTAATTTAAATATTTTATTGTTTATGATATTACAGTTGTTGAATTTTGCCCCCTTTGTCCCCCTCCACCCAGCCAGCCCCCAGTCTCACGAAGTCAACCCTTACACCGTTGTCCATGTGAACGGGTCATGCATATGTTTTTTGACTAATCCCTTCACCTTCTTTCAACCAGTACCCACCTCCCTCCTCCCTTCTTGCAGTTGTCAGTGTGTTCCACATTTCAATGCCTCTGGTTCTATTTTGCTAGTTAGTTTATTTTGTTCATTATAAGTGAGACCATATGGTATTTGTCTTTCACCAATTGGCTTATTTCACTTAACATAATACTCTCCAGTTCCACCCATGCTGATGCAAAAGTTAAGAATTTCTCATTTCTTATTCCACAGTCTATCATTATGATCACTCTCCATATGCATCTCCATCTCCTGTGCTGCTGTCTCCCTTGTCCGTATTTGCCTGGCAGAACTCCAAACCTACTTATATCCAGTTTTCCGTAAATGTAATACTTTAAATGCAGAGAAAGCATTTGGATAAGGGCGCTCCTGAATTGTGTTTTAAATCAAGTGTAGAAAGCATGTCTAACTTGGATTTCTGTTCTCAGCCCTCCCACCTGCGGCAGGCATTTTAGACAGGTGGATGTTGAGAAGCAGCAAAGACATACTTATATTTTTGCATTGCAATTTTGCTAACGCAGCTTGGCATTATTGAGTTCCTACTCTGTGTCAGATACCCACAATTGATTGACAGCCTGTGGCCACACTATCTAAGGATAGACAAACCCATAAGTAATTCAGCACAAAATGGTATGGCAAAAAACTACTGGTAAGGTGTATACTAGGGAAGAGGCAGCAAAGTCAGTCTGGAGAGTTGGGGAGATGGGAGGGAGAAGGAAAGAGGGGGACATCATATACAAAGGCCTGAGAAAAAATGTATTATTTGCTGTGTGGGAAATGGAAGGCAATTCTGAGTGCTAGGCATTGAGTATATGTGTAGGGATGAGGAAAGGTAGCAAGAAATGAATCTGGGTTCGTTGGTAGGAATCAACAGAGAGCAGCTTAGCAGCCACTCTAGACCATTAACTGTCATCAAGAGAGTGGGGCTGCTCCTGAGGGTTTTTCCTGCTGAGTTGAGATGGATTCATCCCATGTTTTAGAGGCTGAGGCAGGAGGACCACAATTAGGAAATGATTATAGTGGTACAGTGAGAAATGTTCAGCATACTGTGGGAGATTCATTCTATCAAAACAAACAAACAAACAAACAAACAAACAACAAAGTAAAACACATGAGACCTTTTTGGAGGAGCTACTGGATGCCAGCCCCTAGGGATTCAAAGGTGAAGAAAACCCTTTTTTTCCCTCCTTGAGAATCTCCCCAGTGTGAGGGAGAGGAATGGGGAAATGGGGAAGGAGGCAGGCATTAAACTGTCAAATTATTTGACAAATGCAGGATGGTAGGTGCTACACAGAGAAGGATACAGAAGACACTGCTCTAAATGCCTGCTCTTGGGATTGGACATGCGAGTGAACCTGGGGTGCTGGGAGGACTGCAGGAAACATTTGAAAGATCTATCCATCCCTCACCCCTGAAAGATCCCCAAAATTCTGGCTCTTCCCCTTCATTGTACCTCCCTTCTCTACATTCGGTATGCCTACCACTGCCTCATTAGTCCTTTCAGGGCCAGTTTCAGTAGGTATTCCTCACTAGGCCACAGGATCACCTTAGTCTGGTATTGAAATTCTTAAATGGAAACAATCCCCATTTTACCCTCAGCCCATTGCTCTAGCCCCTCCCTCTCAAGTGCTTCTCTATTATAGCAAACTGGATACCTGTTATTTCCAGAGCACGCTCACTAATGTCTCACTTCATTCCTTTGTTCATGCTGGTCCTGCTTCCCAGACTGCTTTTCTTCTCATTTCCCAAATATGAGCGCAGTGGCCATCATTGAAGACCTAGCCTAAATGCCTCTGTGGTTTTTTCCGAGGGGCATAAGAGGTCCTCTTGCTGGCTCCCAGATCTGAAGACCCCCTTCCCTCCTAGGGCCACTTCAATACTTTGTCTTTACCTTTCCCTTGACAGATTTCATAATTCTGTATTATATAATAAGCATTTGGGTATTTTTCCTTTGTATTCTCCCTCCTTGAGGATGAGGACAAGGTTTCTTCATTGTTTTCATGGTATTTTTGCTGCTGGTAGATGTGAATAAATGAATGGCTGGTGCACAGAAAATGATTGGTCTATACGCGTATAATTCTGAGAGACTCTCAGTTGCCTAAAGGAGAATCCCCCTACTTTGAATGTGTGCAGGAACTAGTTTTTGTTATTCTGCATCAGCAAAACTACCTAAAATCTTTATTAAGCCCTAATCAGGTATTGGGCAACATGCTAAGTGCTAGAGCTAAGGGTTGATAAAGACAAGATGGTTGCCTGCTCTCAGGAAGCTTCTATTCTGCAGGGGGTTGGCAAGTGAGTAAGGAGGGTCATTGGAAGCAGTGCCGTAAGACAAGTGAAGGTGCTACAAAGTGACCCTGGGTGTCAGGGAAGCTGCTCTGAGGAGGGAAGGGTGAGAGTGTCCCACTGTGGACACCTGTAATGGCGCTCCCTACATGGGTATGCTTGTCTGGCCAGGTGGGGACTGGGGATAGTAAGGGAAGGAGCGGACCTCCTGGTGGGGCTAGATTCCCCAGATGGCCAGTGCAAGTGTCCTTCTCAGGCCGAGAGAGGGGTGGTGGCAGAACCCAGGTGATTCCTTCACCAATGCGCTGTTCTGGTTTATTTTTAAAATTCTTTTTATTGTTGTTCAATTGTTCTGGGTGTTATTTGTGCAGAAACACATCATCCATGGCCTTCTACCTGCGGCCAGCATCGCACCTAAGCCAGCTGTGCCCCGGACACCTCCTCCTCGCAGCCCCAACCCCTCTCCAGAGAGACCAAGGTGAGTCTCAGGTGAGCATGCACTGAGGTCACCTTTGTGCTCAGCTACCAAGTGGTAGGTCCTAGAACTGTTCAAACTGGCAAGAAGATTACAGGTAGGATGATTAGAATCATGTCCTTTGAAATATATATCATGGTTTCATAATTTAATATGATTTCTCTGTGGGATAATGGTCTGTCCCTTTCAGGTATGGACTTCTCACATTTGGTAATTAAATGCAGTTAGTATTTTTCAAAATATTAAAGCTCAAGTATTTGGGTTGATGGTATGTTAAAAGGAATTTGAATTGTACACATAATTTTCTCTTTAAATGGAAGTCTGCCTTGCAGAAGAACTGCTTTGTGGGAAGGAAGGAAGAAGTGGGTTCACTTCCCAAGGCCTGGGATTTCGCCCATCCTCCAGTGCTCCTAACACATCAGATAGATGACTTTGTTTTACACGTAAGACCCCTGCCCTCCAAGATTTTAGACACGGGAGAATTTTAGACTATTTTTATCTGTAAGATACCTGGATATATGTATAACTTGACTATTAACAACGAGAACAGACCTCTGGTCAAGATGGAGACATAGGTAAACATGCTTGCTTCCTGGCACAATTACAGAAAAAATTACAACCAGACTACAAAACAAATCTTGCCCAGAAATGTTAGAAAATCAACCTGTATAGAAGTCCAACAGCCAAGGATTTAAAGAAGCCACATTCATCCAGATGGGTAGGAGGGGCGGAGATATGGAGAAGCGTGGAGAGGTGCGGAGACGTAGAATGGGCAGTCCCATATCCACGTGTGGTAGATAAAAATCTGGAGGGATACCTCAGGAGTGAGAGATCCCAGCCCTAGAGTAGACCACCCAGCCCACTGTTCCAGCACCAGGAAGTTAAGTCCCAATAACTTCTGGCTTTAAAAATCAGTGGGGTTGGGCAGCAAAAGAAACTGCAGAACTCACAGGAGACTCCTCTTAAAGGACCCGCAATAGACTAAAGACTTACTCAGATTCATTCCTTCTGGGATTCAGCACCAGCTGAATCTGGGCAACAGCTGGAAGGGCACTAGTCACATATGCAGAGAAATTGAAGTGACTGGCATCAGGGCGAGTGTCAGGAAACAGCTTCCTCCAGGGAAAAACTCCAGAGGCCAGGCAGCAGCATTGTCCCCTCTCCAAGCCCTCCCCCACACAGAGCCACAGAGCAGTGACATCGGTTGCCCCACTCTGGCAATTACCTAAGGTTTTGCTCCATACAACTTACAGATGTGCTTTTCTATAATAGATCACACTACTAAACAGGGAGTCAAAGCAGCTCCACCTAATACATAGAAACAAACACAGGGAGGCTGCCAAAATGAGGAGACAAAGAAATATGGCCCAAATGAAAGAACAGAACAAAACTCCAGAAAAATAACTAAATAAAATGGAGATAAGCAACCTATTAGATGGAGAGTTCAAAACACTGGTTATCAGGATGCTCCAGGAACTTACTGGGTACTTCAACAGCACAAAAAAGACCCAGGCAGAAATGAAGGTTACATGAAGTGAAATAAAGAAAAATCTGTAGGGAACCAACATTGAAGGGAATGAAGCCAAGAATCAAGTCAATGATTTGAACATAAGGAAGACATAAGCATTCAACCAGAGCAGCAAGAAGAAAAAAATAATTCAAAAAAACAAGGATAGGCTGAGGAGCTTCTGGGACATCTTCAAACATACCAACCTCTGAATCATAGGAGTGCCGAAAGGAGAAGAGGAAGAGAAAGAAATTGAAAACTCATTTGAAAAAATAATGAAATAAAACTTCACTAATTTGGTGAAGGAAATAGACATACAAGTCCAGGAAGCCCAGAGAGTCCCAAACAAGCTAGACCCAAGGAGGACCACACTAAGACGCATCATAATTAAAATGCTAAAGGTTAAAGGTAAAGAGAGAATCTTAAAAGCAGCAAAAGAAAAGCAAACAGTTACCCACAAAGGAGCTCCCATAAGACCATCAGCAGATTTCTCAAAGGCAACTTTGCAGGCAACTATGCAGGCAAGAAGGAACTGGCAAGAAGTACTCAAAATGATGAAAAGCAAGGACCTACAACCTACATTACTCTATCTAGCAAAGTTATCATTTAGAATTGAAGGGCAGATAAAGTGCTTCTCAAACAAGATAAAACTAAAGGAGTTCCAAATCACCAAGCCATTATTATATGAAATGTTAAAGGGAATTATATAAGAAAAAGAAGAAGATCAAAACTATGAACATTAAAATTACAATAAATTCACAACTACCAACAATTGAATTTAAAAAACAAACTAAGCAAACTAGCAGAACAGAAACAGAATCAGATATGGACATCATTTGGAGGGTTATGCATTGGGAGGGGGAAAGGGGAGAATGGGGGAAAAGGTAAAGGGATTAAGAAGTACAGATTGGTAAATTCAAAATAGATGGGGATGTTAAGAACAGTATAGGAAATTGATTGGCCAAAGAACTTGTAAGCATGACCCATGGACATAAACTAAGGGGTGGATTGGTGGAGGGAATAGAGTACTGGGTGGAGGAGGGCAAAGGGGGAAAAATTGGGACAACTATAGTAGCATCATCAATAAAATATATTTAAAAAATAAACAATGAAAACAAATTTCATTCAAGGGTGGTACCTTCTTTTTTAGTGTTCTTTGGAGCTAGAATATTGTATGTCTCCTGATAAAAAAAAGCACTGAAATATGTTTAGTGTTTTCTTTTCCTTTAGTACGATCTTAATAATGAGAATAGCCATGTATTAGTATTTACTCTGTGCCAAAGACTCTAGTAAGTGCTCTAGAAGTATTACTTCATTTTATCCTCTCAGTGACCCTAGTAGGTCCTTTGAGCTCAAGTGTTTAGTATTTGCTTGAAGTCTCACAAATGGCAAACAGTGGCATTGCTGCAATGCACTTGAAGGTTTGTCCAGTGTTTGTGTGAACAACCATTAAGTAGAGCCATTAGAACTTCAGTGTTTATGTAGCAACAGCAGCAGCGAGAGGGTTGGCTTTACGTTCCATTATAAGCAGAAAAACAAAAGTCCACATGTCGTATCATGCAAGCATGATATAGACTCATTAGAAAATTTCTAGAGTCTCCATGCTTTACAAAATATCTTCCTGGATTGTAATCTTTATAAATCCAAAATAACCAACACTAGATTTTTTTATTTTTAAAAAAATTGAAATTTATCTTTAATATTATTCCATTTCATGTGTAGTATAATAGTGTAAGAATCTTACAGCTGTTTACCTCTATTGCCTCCTTCCTATCCTTTGTGTTATTGTTGTCATACATTTTAATTCTATATGTTATGAACTGCGTAATACTGTTGTATTATTACTATTTTTTACTTGGACAGTTTATCTTTTTAAAAACTTTTTAAGGTATAATGGACTACAATAAACTGTACATATTTAAAATTCAAATTGGTAATCTTTGACATATGATTACCCCTGTGAAACCGTCACCACAATCACGATAATAAATACACCCATCATCTCCCCAAGGTTCCTCATGCCCCGTTCTTCCACCTCCCATTCCCCCGCCCAGCCCACCCTCACCCCCATTCCCAGGCAACCACTGATATGCTTTCTGTCACTATAGATTAGTCTTCATTTTCTAGGATGTTATATAAACAGAATTACACGAAATAATTAAGGTGCTGTTTACTCAGTATAATTATTTTGACATTTGTCCATATTGTTGTGAAAGTCAGTAATTTGTCATTTTTATGGCTGAGTAATATTCCATTATATGAATACACCACAATTTGTTTATCCACTCACCTGTTGGTAGATATTTCCAGTGTTGGGCTACTAGAAATAAAGCTGTTTGAACATTCGTGCAGAAATTTTTGTTTTGACATATGCTTTCATTTCTCTTCAGTAAATATCTAGGAGTGAAATACCTGCATGATATATTAGTTATTATTTAACTTATATGTGATTCATTTATGTTCCCACCAGCAGTGTGTGAATTCCAGTTTCTTCACTTCATCAACACTTGGTTTGGTCAGTCTTGTGGGGGGTGGGGGCGCGGTTTATAACTTTGACAGTCAGTGCTTAGTTCTTATTCACATTTACTGTCTGTATAATTTTTGAAAGTGGTGACAGGTGCATAGGTAACAATGTATAGAGGTTGTTTGGTGAATCTTTATCTTCATTATGCCTTCTGGGCAGCCATATATTGATGAGGTATAGAACAGTCTTTATTTTGACCCAGTCAGCTTTGTTGAGCCTGGTGTCCACATGCATATCTGGAGTTGCTGTTTGCTTCCTGGCAAATTTCTGGATCTGTTTGAATGCCTCAGGGGAACAGTTCTTGATGCTCATGCCACAGGTGCGCTTGTGAATGTTGGTGGTGTACTCTCTGGTTACCTCCTCATTAATGGCAGGATGACCCCTTCTTCTTAGCATCCCTCTTTGTGGGAGCCATTCTGTCAGGGCCAATCTTTTTTTTTCTTTTTAATTTCTTAAAAATTTTGAGTAAAGCGATGACATGTGTTGCAGAGCACAATCTCAAATGCTCCCTGCCTTGGCCAGTGTTTTTAATTTTGGACATTCTAATAGATATGTAGTGGTATCTCATTGTGGTTTTATTTTGCATTTCTCCAATAACTAATGATATTGAGCAGGTGCTTATTTGCCATTTGTATATCTTCTTTGGTAAAGTGTCTGTTCAAACCTTTTGCTCACTTTTAAAATCTGAGTTGCTTGTGTTCCTGTTATTATATTTTAAGAATTCTTTATTATGGATACAAGTTCTTTATCAAATACATGCTTTGCAAATATTTTCTCCCCACCTGTGACTTAATGTTTTTATTCTCTTAACAGTAACTTTAAAGGAACAGAAGATCTTAATTTTTATGAAGTTCAACTTGTCAATTTTTTCTTTTACAGATTATGATTTTAATGTAATATCTCATAAATCTTTGCCTAATTTAAGGTCACAAAGATTTTCTTCCAGAAGCTTTATAGTTTTAGGATTTATATTTAAGTATAATACCCATTTTGAGTTAATTCTTTTGTGGTGAGAGATATGAAGGTGTGGATTCAAGTTCCTTTTTTTTGCATATGGGTATCCAATTGTTTCAGCACTGGTTGAAGGCTATTGTATTAGTTATCTGTTGCCATGTAACAAGTTACACCAACGTAGTGGCTTAAAACATAAAACAACAGCGGTTTTTTGATAGCATATCTCACTGTATTCTTTAAAAAAAAATTTTTTTTCATACCTGTATTTCCTTTTGGTTATTCTTTATTGTCTTGCCTTTAATCTCATGAATATTTTCTGCAAAGTGTCCTATCTAGTGTAATTTTCATCTCCTGAAGTTCAAGACTTTTTTATAATCTTCCATGTCTCTACTTAGCTTTTAAACATATAGAATACAGTTAAAATAACTGTCCTATGTCCATCTGCTAATACTAATATATGTGTTCGGTTCTGATGGGATTTTGATGATTCTTTTCATTATGGGTTGTTTTTCTGTCTCTATGCATGCTGGTTATCTTTGATTGCATATTAGACATTGTTTTAAGTTTCATGTTGTTGAGTACTGGATATTTTTGTATCCTTTTAAGTCTTCTTGAATTTTGTGCTGGGATGCAATTAAGTTACTTGGAACCAGATTGATCTTTTTAGAAGGAGTCTGGAGCAATGTTCAGCCTAGGGCTAATTATCCCCTACTCCTGAGGCAAGACATTGAGAGGACTGTACCCAGTGTCCCATGAATTATTTTTCCTGTCTGACTCTTGGGAACAGACACTGGCCTCAGCCATATGTAAGCACCTGGCACTGTTCCTCTAATCCTTACAAATGGTTCTTTTCCCAGTCTTGGATAGTTTCCTCACAGTCATGCACTGAGTAACATTTTGCTGAACACACACGGGGACCTTCTGCAGTTTCCAGAGTTTTCTCTGTTCCGCTCTCTCCTTTCCGATACTTTGTCCTCCAAAATCTATCTGCCTTGGTATTCCTGGACTCTCAGCTTTGTCTACACAACTCTGGGAGTCTGTCTGGTCCCTCCTCGGTTTCGCCTTCCTTTGCTATGACGTGAAAATTCTCTCTGGCAGTAAACTGAGCCATTTGTTAAGTCTGTTATTTTGTTATACTTTTTCAGGTGGGAGGGTAAATCTGTTATTCTGTCTTTCCTATATTATTGTTTTGAAAATCTTTTGCAAGATTTTAAAATGCCTTTGAAAATCTTTTGCAAGATTTTAAAATGCCTTTGAAAATCTTTTATATAATTTTATATCTCCTTTTCTTTCATTCTAATCTTTTACTTTAATAGAAAAACCATTTGAATATAGACTCCCTTGATTAGAGACCTGGTTCCATCTCCTGTTAGCTAAAAAATCTTGGGCAAGTAATTTAATTTATATAAAAGATGGAGGTGACGATAATATCCACTTACACAGTTGATGTGAAAATGAAATGAGGTTGTTTGATGACACATAACAGACAACAGGCCTGCGGTCAGTAGGTGTGCACTAAACATTCTAGAACAGAAGGTACACCTTGATTAATTCCTGAATCCTGTTGTTTAACCTTTAGTTCACCATCTCACTAGGATGCTCTTGCCCACAGATCTGCTCTGGCTGCAGTCATTCTAGCAACAACGTTGACTGGCCGGACCATTGCCCTTCCTCAGCCACGTCGGAGATCCCAGTCTGAGAGTGACACGACCTACATTGAAAATGACAGTTTCATCAAGCCCTATGCCACCACCTCAGAGCAGAGACATCGGTAAGGACCATTTCCCTGGCTCTGCTTCCTCTTGTGACAGGAGGAGCAGCTTGCGCGCGCGTGCATGTGAGTGTGTGCATGTGCATGCATGTGATTAGGACTGTAGCCTAGTAGTCAGGTTTTCGTCACCAATATCAAAGGAACACTGTTCTGGGACATTGTTCTTGAATTGTATCAGAATTTTCTCTAGAGTGAGTCTTGTTAAATTATGGCTTGTGAACGCACTGGTCGTTTTCATGGCAGCACAGAGCCAGTGCCGCTTTTAGGCCTTCATAAGAGTCTCCGTGCCACAACCTAGGTGGTGAGAGTTGTCACTCACCACTTCTCATATATCTCCCCTCCAAACATTCATATTGATTTGACCTTTGTTGGCATCTATATTGTAACTTTTATTCTTTTTTAATGTCATTTCCTTTATTGATTGAGCCGGGTTAATGTTAACATAGGGCTAGGGAGTCAGGAAGGTTTCCTCCTGAGGAAGAGAGTGTTGAGGGGCGCACTGAGGGATTTATAGGAATCAAGCGGGAACAGCTTGAGGGCTGGGGAGATGGTCAGTGTGGGGCTAAGATGAGCTTTCTAGACAGAGAGGGAGCTTGACGCATGTGAGCAACAGAACAGGTGATTGTGGCTGGGAGAGCTGGGCGGGGGGTCATTTGAGATGGGGCTGGAGGAGTGGGCAGAGGCTAGGTTGGGGGCGCCTGTGGTGCCCCGTCCTGAGATTTGGTATGTCCCCTAGAAGCAGGAAGACACCGTGGGCTTTAAGGACTTATAGGGTGGTGGCGGGGGACATGACCAGGTTTGCTTTTATCTGTCACATTTATTCAATTCTGTTTTTGTTTTTGTTTATATTTTTACATACCAAATACTCTGTATTTTTTATGGAATAAGATCTACTAGTCTTGTCTTTGTAGTTTCTGTCATGATTAAAAAAAATCTAGAAAGACCTTCCCTACAACAGCATTATATAAATGCTCATGTTTTTTTCTTTTAGGATATGTTTATATTTTTGGTTTTTACATGTTAATCTAGACTCCATTTTGACATGTTTGAATATACCCTATTTTTTTCTCCTGGTAAGAATTGCACTTTGGGTGAATAAGAACTAAAGATGAGGACATGACTCTAAAATTTATTGGAAAGAATAAGCAGATAAGACCAACAGATGAAATTCAGAAAGGAAGAATATTGATCGTGGGGGTAGGCTGCATTAGCCCGTGTGTGTGTGTGTGTGTGTGTGTGTATAGTAATTTTTTCATGACTGTTTATCCCCCTACACCCTCTTCTACCTCCACCCTCCTGCAATCACCACACTGTTGTCTGTGTCCATGAGTTCTTTCTTCTTTCTTTTTTTCTTTTTCACTCAGCCCCATTATACAGGGTCCAGCAGAAGTAACACCTACTTGTGTATGATTGATATGATAATAATATGGGTGTAATAATTTAGAGTTTTAATTTGAACATTTCACCTAAAATGTGAGATGGTGTGCTTGAGTGTGATATTGTTATGTTACCGAATTACATACTTAGGATTTTGTAATAAAAATGGGGCGATATTTATGCCAGACCCTGTATTTAAAAACCTTAGTTGAAATAGTTAAAACAGAGGTGGACTGGTTCAGTGATTGAGAGGTGTGCATGAACTCCTGAGGTGAACCTTGTGGTGGCAAGCATATTGAACCTCTAATAAAGGCAGCCCCACAGATCAAAAGGGAATGAAAGGATTCAATAGTATGTTGATTAGCAGTTTGGGGGGGAAAATCAGCTTTGAGCCTTGCCTAATTCATATACTAAAATACATTTCTATTGAATTAAAGGATTGATTTGTATATGTACATAAATAAGACCATGAAATCCTATATTGTAACATCAGAACTGCTATTTACTCCAAAGCTAAAAATTGAAAAGGTTAAAAGAAATTTTTAAAAATCATCTGTATGTTAAGCCCTGGCTGGTGTGGCTCAGTGAATTGAGTACTGGCCTATGAACCAAGAGGTTGCCAGTTCAATTCCCTGTCAGGGCATATAGCTGGGATCAGGCCCAGTCTTGTGAGAGGTAACAGATTGATTGGTGTTTCTCTCACACATCGATGTTTTTCTCCCTCTCTTTCTCTCTCCCTTCCCCTCTCTCTGAAAATAAATGAAATCTTAAAAAAAATCATCTGTATGTTAAAAAAATTAATAGAACAGGAAAAATATTGGTAGTAAATACAAAGGCAGGGTTTTAATATTATAAGATAAGAAAGTTAATTTCAAATTGGAATGAACATACTAGAAGCAGAGTAGGTAAATGGACAAAAGACATGAACAGAACAGACAATTCACATTAGAGGAATTAAAGCTTGCACACAAATATATGGAAAAATATTCACTCTAGGTAAGATATGCAAATTTATACAGTGAGATTTAAATTCTTTTGTCAAGTTTTAGAAAATTATTACCAATGTAGTCACAGGTTGGAGAAATGATTTGTGAAATGATTTTGTGTGATGTGCGTATAGACCCATAAAGTGTTCATACCATTTGATTCAGCAGTTTGCCATCAGTTGGTTTTATAGGACTAATCCTAAAAGCAGAAGAGAATATTTGCACATAGATATGCATGCACGGTCATTTATAACAGGGAAAATTGGAAGGGGTAATGTATAGTAAGGGAAATGGCTGACTCAACTGGTGTAACTACTTGAGTCTTTATAATATTATGACTTTAAAAATTTGTTAACAAAGGGGCAGATTGTATTTGCATGCAGCGATAATAACTATAAGAACCAAGGTGGAAAACTAGAAAGAACTTTTAAGAGCTTACAGAGAGATGGGGTAGTGGATGACTTAATCCTTTAGTTTCTATATATTTTGTAATGCAGTTATAATACTTCCATGGTGGGGCCTCAGAGGCAGTGCATTTAATACATGTATGTATACCACTGTGAAGTAAGTGGCCAGTTTAGTTTCTTATTTTTCTCTTTAATGTTCTAATATAGACCAAATTGGCAGAGTGACACAGGAAGAAGAACTTCGTTGCCGTCCTTTGAGATGCTGGGCTCTGGGGAGGAAGAGGACACTGACTCGCCCCTGTCATCCACCTACAAGGAGTCGGGGGACAGCAGTGCTCATAAAGAAGAGGGGGCTCTTGGTGATGCTGTGTATGCCATGCCACACAGAAATCAGGTGCTTGTCACATTCCAGAATTTCGTCTGCACCTTGACATTAGCTCATAGTAAATTGTGTATGAGTGAGGACTTTCCTTTCTCCCTTTTACTTTCGATGGCTTTTGTTTTTCAGCTTATTTTTTTAACATGTCCAGTCTCATTTTCTATCTGGTTAGGCTAAAATTTAAAACTTTTCCTTTACCTTTCAAGGACAAACATCTTCACATTTTCAGTGTAGATTTTCATCTGATGCTAAGAAATCCTGCTCTTTGACCTCAAAAGCTAATTTTCCTTTTACTTTTCTAATATCAGTATACATAGTTGTAACCTTTCTTCAAATTCATGCCTGGCCGAAGGAGTCTTTTCATTGGTCTCTATACTAGCTGATGTTGTTTGAGTGGTTACTGTTAAGTGAGTCTCTATTTCAAGATCTTATAGGTATTTATCTTCCACTATCTCAGTGAGATAGGCTCCATTTATGACCATATCACACGTGGGAAACCAAGGTACAGAGAGGTTGGAGGAGCCCATTTCTCCACCACTGTCCAGTTGCTCTGGTTTAAACTCTGTTCCTAGGCTTTTGAAAACTAGATGGTGCCATTTCTTTAATTCAGCAGTCCCCAACCTTTTTGGCTCCAGGGACGAGTTTCATGAAAGACAATTTTTCCATGGACTGGGGTTAGGGGATGGTTTCAGGATGATTCAAGTGCATTATTTTCAAGCTCACCTCCTGCTGTGCAGCCCGGTTCCTAACAGGCCCGGACTGGTACCAGTCCACGGCCCGGAGGTTGGGGACCCCTATTTTTAATGGTGAAAGACAGCACCATAACTTTCTCTTTTCCTTTCTCTTTTTTCGCCGTAACTATAACACATGTTAAGCATAGTGACTTCACATATAGACCAGCAACATCAAAGTATATTCATATTGATTACTTTCCAATACTGAATCACATCTTAAATGGTCTTAGGGAGCTTATTTGGAGGAATCCATATGTGAGTATTTCAACTAGCCATCACTTTCTAGCATACAGACTTCAACATGCAGTTAGGTTTCCTTATAGCAGGGAGCAGTGGAACAGGCAGACGGCTGCCAGGAGCCCAGAGGAGGGCCTTCTGCAGGGCTCTGAAGTCCTGCTGCCCCTCAGTCTGCACACTTCCTGGTATATTTTGGACTGAGGTTAAAAGATAGAGTTGTATCACTCAAATGTTTTGAAGTGAAACTTGCTGCCACATTTCCCTTAGAAGACAGCGACCTATAGTGAGGCTCTGGAGGAACTCTCGAACGCTGGTGGGATTGTAAGTTCATGCCACCATTTCGGAAAACTGGCACTATCTATTAAAGCTGAATGTGTGTATTTTCTATAACCCAGCCAAAAAAAGAAAGTTGAAAAGTAGAAAATAATATAACATATTAGTGTTCTCATTCTCCAGAATGAGCAAGTATTGACATCTTACCTGTTTTTGCTTCAGATTTTTTTAAAATAAAAGAAATACAATTAGGCTTGAATTTCCCTTTGTTTTCTAGTCCCTTTCCATCCCTGGAAGGCCTTCTTCTCTTGGGTTTGGAATGCATTTTAGAAGTCTGTGCTTTTACTCTTTTACTACAAGTAAGTGTCAATAAACAAATTGATAAATAAACAAGGAAGTGTCAATAAACAAACATTTTTTTAATGCACAAAGTTCACCATACTGAACCAGTCATTTCACCTCTTGGCTTTTTTACTTGACGTTACAGTTTTGAGAGGGATCCATGTTACTTTATCTACTCAACTACTGATCAACATTTTACGTTATTTCCTTCAACATTGGGTATGTGTGCTTGTTCACATTACTAGATATTTGCCAGCTTATTCTCCAGAGCGATCGTTCCCTTTTTCCTTCCCACCCGCAGTGTATGCATGCCAGTCTCCAGATTTCTGTAAAACAGGCAAGTCTTTTGCTGTACAACCTAGGAACCAGAGGAGGAGTTTTGGTAACTGATTGCAATTGAAAAGTTTCATCATAACCTTTACATTGACCTGGCAGATGGCATGCACGAAAGGGCCCCTAAGCTGCAAAGGGATTTCAATTTCCCACAGCCTTAGGATTAGTATTTTTTTTCTGAGGGCTTGGTAGACAGTAGCAGGAGGAAGACACATAGACCTTTTCTTAGCATTAATATATGTTAGGCAGCTTATATGTGCCATTTAACTTACTTCACATCCTTCAGGTAAGTGTTTGAAGAGACTGGGTAAATGACTTGCTCAGGTTCCACCCACCAACCATCCAGTGGCAGAGGCAAGATTTAGACTAGGGCGGTGAATTTCCCCTATGAGGAATTAAAATTTGTGTTTATAATTCTTATGCCCATCAAGAATATTTCTTAGACTTAAAGCTTTTTTTTAAACAGGCCGAATATCCTTAAATGTAGTATATGATTAAAAAATATATCTTTGAAAAAAGGATGTGAATGGAATGGATGTAAAACTGGTATTTAATCACTAGATAGCACCAGCTCTGAAGGAGATACTGCCTATGAGGTACATTTTAATTAAAAAAATAAAAGTAAAATTGCCTTCCCTTTACCTGGGGACATTCTGTACTCTGGGGTAAATAATTTATAATTTTATCCTTTTTTATGAATCATTCATACTTTCTTTAAAATAAACAGTTGTCAAAACTCGGAAGGCTGCCCTGGCTGAGGGTGGTTCTGTGGATTGTGTCAGCCTGCAAACCAAAAGGTCCCTGGTTCAATTCCTAGTCAGAGCACATGCCGGGGTTATGGGCCAGGTCCCCAGAAATACAGGTCGTCAGAAGGGGGCGTGCAAGAGGCAACCACACATTGATGTTTGTCTCCCTCTCTTCTTCCCTTCCCATCTCTCTAAAAATAAATAAATAAAATCTTTAAAAAAAACTAGGAAAGTAAGAAAATAGACCAACCCAAGCAGGTAATTTGGATATAAGTCTGTACATCAAGCTTCTCTCTTTTTCAGGGTAATTTGGGCAAACATCTTCATGTAAAGTGTGCACCTGCCCAGAACGGCCTAACAAATGGAAAGAAGATTTTGTTTTCAGTAGTTTTTTTGTTAGTACCACTTAAAAGTAAGGCCAGAGGGTTAATGGAGTGTCTCAATTTGTGGTCAGTTTACACAATGCTAGAGCCCAGTGGACAGAGCAATGCCATGGGCATTCAGAGACCTGAGTTCAAGTCCCACCTTGTCTACTTCCCACTTGTACAATATAACTGTGGTAAGTCAGATAACTTCCCTGTGCCTCAGTTTCTTCATCCTATATAGAACTGGGGAGGAGATTGTCTTTGGGCAGGTAAATAACTTGATAAATATTTATTGAGCATCCAGTGAGTACCAGACATGTGCCAGGTGCTGGAGAAGCAGTATAATACCGAGTCCGTAGTCACACAATTAATAACGATCAATTACAGTTATGATAAATGATACAAGGGAAGAGTACAGGTGGCCTGATACTATAGAGCAGGGGACTTAACCTTTCCTGAGAGGACTGCTGAGAGTGACAGCAGAGGGCTAAGAGGGAGTTACAGACTGCCTTCTTCTCCACTTTGAAGTCACTTGACCTTCTGCCTGATGCCTTTGTAAGTTTATTCTTTAGCCTTTGAGGTTTAGTATATCACCAAAATTAATTGTGGTGTTTATTATTTTCTGTTCTTTTTTTCCTGAAAATTAGTTTATAATTCAGCAAAGATTTTCATTTTTTTTTAATTTCCAAGGACTATTTCCTCCCCTGTTTTATCTTTGACTACTTTTGTCATCTATTTATTCTATTTCCCTTTGAGAACACTAGCTATGCATTTATTAGCTATCATTTATTTGTCTCCCATGTCTATTGTATTTTCTAGAATCACTTGTCTATTTTCTTTTCAATGTCATTCTATGTGATTTTCTTTTGTGTATTGTCCATATCTCTTTTCCAGCACGTTGTCACTGTGTTTTAGTGCTTCTAGTATAGCTTTTACCTCTGTATTGATTTTGTTTTTTCTTTCGTTTTTTGAGTTCTGCCAACTTACTTTTCACATCTGCCTGTGACCTTATCACTTTTCTTGATATCCTGTATCTCTTCTTTGGAGTCTTTATGTCAGCCTGTGCTGTCTTTAATTATCTTTGAGAGTGTGCAGCCTGGATCCTGGACAGTGCAGGCAGACTCTCCACAGGTGTCTGCCCTTAGTTTCTCCTGCCTGGGAAGGACCGCTTCTCCTGGGTCTGTCCACACCCATCATCTCCTTGTGCCCATCAGTGGATCTCTGTGGACCTGTAACTGTAACACTTAGTGACTTTGTGTTTAGGAGCATCTACATGCCTGAAGTCCTGCAGCTTTTAGTGTCAGTATTCTCCCGCTGTTCCAAATTTCATAGATTTGGCAGCTGTTTTCGCCAGCTTGTAGATTAAGACTATAGTTATTGACTAAGCATTTTTCCCCATTCTTCTGATTGATGTCAATCAATTTTAAGGGAGGAGACTATCTAAATGCCTTGTTACCATTTTCAAACTGAAATCACTGATAGGATGTTTTTGAAGCATTCTTCCTATTGTTTGTGGATTTGCAGAGCATCTCATCATAAAATGCTATACATTCATTTTTTCATTTCTTTACCCACCCACCTGCCATATTTGAATGTCTACTATAAGCTTGGATGGAGACCCAGAGAGGAATTATTCATGGAGGGATAAACTAGCTCTCTCTAGAAACTTCTGGAGGCCAAGGAATAATAGGCATTCTTTTGCTGCTGCTGTTGAGTATTAGGAATGTTCCTTCTTTCTCCACAGTTAAAAAAAATTTTTTTTAATTTCCTTTTTGTCACATAGGTAATACATGAATATACATTTCTTATAAAAACTTTTGATATAGCCCATAAAGCAAAAGCCCGTCCTGAAACCCTGCTAATCCTATTCTGGTCCTCCTGTCCAGAACAAGCCTCTGTGGTCAATTTGATATCTGTATCTTTTTTTTTTTTTTTTGCTGCAAATAATGGAATAGACAAATATAAGGCTTGAATAACAGACTCTTAACACTCTCACCTAACAAAGTCAAGAGGTAGAAGATTCCAAATTGTTTCAACCATCTGTTGAAGGTTGGGGCCTGAGGTTCCCTTGGCTTCCTCTCCATGGTCACCAGTGGATGTGGCAGATCTTGGTCCCAAAGCTGAAGAAAGAAGTGGGGAAAGGGCCTTTCATCAGGCTGCTCTGTGCTTATTAAGGAGAACATTTTTTCCTGGAAGCCTCCCAGCTGGAGGCTCATTGGTCACATGCCCATCCCTTGACCAGTTACTGGCTAAGGGGAAGAGAATTATCGTGATGATTCATACCCTAGAGCTGGGTGCATTTGCCCCAAACGAAATCATCCTCTTAGCGATGTTTTCCAATTGCTAAGTGGTCAGTGCAGCAGTGCCTGCTATGGCTTGACTCCTGCCATCTCTCTCTCTGCACTTACATATGCACATCCATGTACAGAGAGACATATCCACTGTTAGTTTATTTCATGTAGATTATGACTCTGCTCTACCAAAGCAAGCACCTCTGCATGAGCTTGACCCCTGTTGGTAGCAGTAGAAGGCCAGGATAGCAAGTAAGGCACCAAGCCGTCACTCCTGGCAGGTTGCAGGGGCCACCAAGAGAGTGAGCTATCTTTCAGTGTTGGAGTGTCCTCCATGTAACAGGTGAGGAAGCACAGATTCACAAACCCTTAGTTTATTTACCCTAATGTCAGGGACGGTCCAGTGTGTTTTTTGGCCTACAAGGTCCCAGTGGAGGCTCGAGCAGTCCCTCTACCTTACAAATCAAAACTGCCCCTGCCAGAGTTATTCCTTGGTTTACTGCACATTTTTACCACATTCTTGCCTGGGCTTAAACTAGAGGTAGAGCCACCTGGCACCTCCTATTGCTCCACCACTAATGACTGTATAATGCACTTTGGGTGGGGCTCTTCTGTTAGCATCATTACTGAGAGGAGAGGCGTCTGGGAAGGTGACGTCCCCTTCCGGGCTGCAGCCTGTGCATGATTAGAGTTAGTCACTGCTGGATGTTAGCGTCCTCTCACTCTCACAGCCACAAGCATCTGGGCACGGCAGCTTCCTTGCTGTGCCGTCACGTATTCCAATATCTTGCTTTTATCTTCAGGTATTAGAATACTTCTGATATCACAGACTAGTCTTGCATGTTTTGAACTTCATATGCATGAAATCGCAGAACATGTATATTTTTGCATCTGACTACATTGTTAGGTGTGTACAAACTTAAAATTATATCTTCCTGGTAAATCAAACATTCTGTCACTATGAAGTGAGCCTCTTTTTCTCTAAAAATGTGTTTTGCCTTATGTCTGTTCACCTGACATCCTCTACCTTCCTTTTGTTTGATATTGGCATGGTCTGTTTTTTTCCGTTCATTAATTTCAACTTTCTATCTCTTTATGTTTAACTGTATCTTATAAACAGCATATCATTTTTTAAAAAACAAATTTTAAATATATAATTCACATATGATCTATTTAAATTCATCGAATTAAAGTATGTATACAGTTTAATGTAGCATATAATTTTGTTAACTGAGTTTGACAAACTTTTCCCTTGTCTTTTTGCTGAACCATTTAGTCCTTTTGTATTTAATGTATATAAGGATTTACTTGAGTTTAAATTTGCCATCTTTATTTTTTCTATTTGTCCTGTTATTCTATATATATTTTTTTCCTCTTGCCTTCTTGTGGGTTGATGACTTCTTCAGTTCTATTTCTTTCTCTCTACTAGTTCACACATTATAGCTATTTCTCTAATAATTACCATAGAAATTACGGCATGCACATTTTATTCTTTAAAATCTCAGTTAGTTCACTACCCAGCAAGAGGACAAAGGGACCTCGGACAAGTGCTGCAGGCAGGTGCGGGGAAGGCCCTTCCCAGCACCACTGGCGTCCGTGCTGGGGTCGGCTGGCCTGCCCTGCTTCTTCCTTTCCTCGATGCCCAGCACGTTTTGTTTTAGGTTGCCAAGGTTATTTTTACAGTTAGAGTTATTTGGAAGTTTAAAATGTTTTAAATTAAAACTTTAAATTAGAGTGTTGTTTTGAATAATGTCGCAATTCTTTGGTTTATTTATTGATGTATTAAATCTACATGAAAGGTATATAAACCGTAAGTGTACAGCACAGTGAGTTTTTACAAAGTAGTCACCGTCCATATTTTTTTTTTAAAAGGAACATTATTAGTACCCTAGGAGTACCTCTGTGTGATCAAGAGGAGGTCACTACTTCCCCCAGAGTGACCCACTGCCCTAACTCCAAGAGTAGATTAGATCTTAGAAAATAACTTTAGATTAGTTTTGCCTATTCTGAAAGTTCTATGAATTTTATCACATAGTAAGTATTCTTTGGGGTTTTTGAAAGTCTTCAGCTATTATGCATGCAGTAGTTGGTTCATTCCTATTGCCGTATAATATCCCATTGTACAACTATGCCATCTAATTACTTAACTCATTTTACTGATGATGGATATTTGGTTATTTCCAGTTTGAGGCTCTTAGGAATAGTGTTGCTATGAACATTTGTAGATATAGGTATGTATTTCCAGTGGGGTATATAGGAAGGAGTGGTATTTGTGTTATCAGCCTTACTACTAGTAGATATTGCCCAACAGTTTTCCATAGTAGAGTATCTTTATGACGACAGTTGACACCCTTAACACTTTTCACATTTCCTTGGTAATAGTGAGTAGCTTAATATATCTCTGACAGGGTGAACAAAGCACTTGGTTCCTAGGGGATGAAAACTGAGAGGTCATTTCTCTTCTCTTCCTACAAATGATGGATGGGAGACCTACCTGTCACTCCTGAGTTGGGTTACCCTGGAGCCACTCAAATGATGAGTGGGCCCATCAGCCTTAGCTCCTGGCTCCTGAAATGCTCCAGTGAATCTTGCTGGTCAGTGCCAACACCTCCCTGCCAGCCTTGGGGATGGCTTTTCTTTGCCTACAGCATAGCCCAGCTAAGACAAGATCATAACATAAGTAAGATTTCAGTGAAGAATCAGGATAGCGGAAGAGAAACCAACCAGAGAGCACCAGAGTTAGCTTATTGTATGCTTGCGTTGCTTCTGTCCCCACTTCCCAGAGCCCTGCCAGTGAGATTATCTACTGTTTATCAGGGTGGTCCCATTCCTGGGCCACAGGTCTGTAAGAGACAGCTCAGCAGCTCTGCCACCATTCATGATGTAAATGCTCACAGGCAGCAGAGGAGAGGGTTCCACTCCATGAGGAAATATTTCCAGTGGAACCAGCGAACATGATGGACCTCAACCCCACACAGTTGCCTGACTGCGGGTTCTCATAGGCGAAAGCTCTTGTCCCATGTCGAGATGATAACACAGCATCGGTACCAGCGTAGGGTAGTGTTGGGTGCTATACACAGAAGGCCAGATGAAGCCCTTTTTTCTGTGTTGATCCCTGGGAGGAAGGAAATAAAGAGGCTGCCCAGGCAGCATGGGTGGGATGTGAAGGAGCCCGAAGTTTCACTCAGCCCTGCCAGGTCTAGTCTTTTTGTGACTAGAAGAGGGTGACTCTGGAAAAAGTGTGGAATAAGCCATTTGAGTTTACTGGGAGGAAATTTGCTCATATGTTTGTTTCTTTGTCTCATAACAAAAGGTTTCATTGTCACATGGGATGGACAGTGAAGATGAGGAAAATATTTCTGAGCAAGATGGGTTTCCAGACTCACCTTTTATACCACAGTGCACACAAGAAAGAGGTAAAAAAAATTTTTTTCAAATATTAAAAATATTTTGTGGCAATAAATATTGGTTAACTTGGGGAGACATAGAACCTTTGTACCTCCATACTGTGATTCTGTTATTATAAGTAGGAATATTCTGAATTTTATTTTCACTGAAGATAAGTTACTTTAGAGTTGATTGCGTGGGTGTTAAGTTGTGCTCACTGCGGAGTCCATTTCGTCAGTTCTGTCAGCCCAAAGAGGGTTACGGCTCAGGCTCTGAAGCTCTACACACTCTTTCCCCACTGGTCCCGAGTGCCTGGTGTTGCAAGGGACCAGTGCACCGAGGTCTGCACAGAATGAAAGATTGGGGTTATCTGTCTTGTCCACCATGCTCTCCAATATTTTGTTACATGCCTTTTTAAAATCTGATAACACATCCCGAATATCTCCCTATGTTCATTCATGTCCATCCACTTTATAATATCTATGTTGCCTGTGGCCTGATGTGTCATATAGTAGTCAGAATCCAACCAGGAGACAGAAAGCACATGATGATTTGAACAAGGAAAGTTTAACATAAATTATTTACATAACAGGATTGCCTACCAAGGTGTAGGGGGAAGTCTAAAGAATACAGGAATAGCAGACAGAGGGAACAGGCCTCTACAGTTAACATAGAGCACCCCAGGGAAGAAACGCATTTGGAGAATAACCCATCGCCGAGATGCAGGCATTGGAGAGGGTGCAGCTGTAGCCCACTGGCTGATGGAGAAGTTAGCTGAGTGCTAACAACTCCCTGGGAAGCTGTCTTCAGGGGATTGCCAGGAGAAACCTACCCAGGGGAAGTGCTACTGGCCTCCTAGAAAACAGGAAGGAGAGAGGAGAGCAGGAAGAGAAGGAGAGGGAGGGAGGTACCACACTGAAATGAAGAGCCCAAGCCCCTTCTCCTCCAGTATCTTTCCAGGGCCCTCTACTGATGAAGCGTATTTTACTGCCCCTGGCAAGTAGAAATACTGCAGTAACACAACCAAGCAGTGAAGATGGATTTGGAGCTAACAGGCAGTGATAACTGGCACACTTGGTAACATGAACTTGGAGCACTTTTGCAGTGATTTTTGCTTTGTGGTGGCATCTTCTGCGGTGCTTTTTGTTTTGTGGTAGCATTAAAAACCTCTGGACACTTGTGAAAAAGGCCCCCCACACACTCCAACTGCTATTTCAGTGGCTCTGGGCAGGGGCCCAGAGGTCTGTAATTTTAACAAGCATTTTGGAGAGTCTCGTGGGGATGATCCTTGGACAAAACATTGGAAACCCTGGTTTATAGTGGTTTGGTCCTTGACTCCGTCATTTCCAGGTGACAAGATGCTTGGCTTAACCCTCCTTCTCAGTCTGTGAGTGCCTCTCATGAGATTATTATAAGGATTAAATTCAGTCACATGTGTGAAGCACAGTGCCTTCCATAAATGCTAGCTGATAATACTGTCCAAAGGGTAAAGCCATCGCGCTCTGTGAGCCCGATGCACCTCTCTGCGCTCCAGTGGTACCCAGCCAGGAGGACAGAAACTGAAGCCTTTAGCCTTTTGGTCCAGGGGCCAATCTCCTGGCCAGAGCTGCCAAATTCTTGCTGATGGGTGTCATCCCCTCCCTTCCTTGGTCCCAGTGGCGCCCTCCCAGGTGTGCTTTTCTTTTTCCTCCACAGCCAAATTTGTCAAACGTCATCTCCACACACCTCCCTTTGCTCCTCTGACGGTGCCTTTTCCACCCACTCCACTTCTCTGCCTCTACTTTCCCCCAGACCAGTGACCTTCATTCTGCTAAATACAGTGGATGGAGCGTTCCACACAGAGGAGCCCTTCTGCTGTCTTAAAATAATCTCTTCCCTGGCTTCATGAGATCACACTCTTCTTGTTTCCTCCCACCTCTCTGGGAACCTCTCTTCATCTCCTTTGCAGTCCCATTTTCCTCTATGTGTCCATTAAGTGGTAGAGTTCTCCAAGCCCCAGTCTAGGGCCTTTTCTCCATCTTTCTAAGTAATCACACCTGCCCCTTTGCTTCCAGTACCATTCATCGTGTGATGCCCAGGTTTCTCCTTGCAACTCATGGTGCCATATAACCAGCTGCCTGCTGTTTGATTCCGTTTATTCCTTCACTCAGGCAGCAGATACAGGCATACGTATGGAGTGCCCACTATGTTTTGGCACCATGGGAGCAGCCAGAGGAGTCTTTTCAAACATGAATCTGGTGGTGCCCCTCCATGTACCCCCACACCATTTTTACTTGGATCTCATCATTGATTTCCCACAGCAACAAGACCTGGCAGGCCGGCCCCTGCTGACCATTCTGCAGCCATTCTAGTGTTCTTTTGTTTCCTCAGCTGCATGATGTCCCACCCTGCCACTGGGCCTTTGTACGTGCTTTTCTCCTTCCTCACAATCTGCTGTTTGTTATATGTAGAAGCGAAAGGGGATGAGATGTGGGCTTGTATGTATGTTTGACTTTTTATATGTTTACATATATCTAAAAGGAAACATATCCAGGTGAGGACCTCTTGGGGGGGGAGTGGTTCAGTGGATTATGTCATTTATCTCTGTTAGATACAGATCTATCATTTTGATTAGTTTTGATTTATCAATATTGTTAGAATTTTTGACAGCATGAATGTGTTCAAGTAGTATGCATTCTCTTTCTTTAAAGATCGGGGTATTACCTAGCATGGCATCTCATATGTGATAGGATGACCAATGCTGGAGACCTTTGTTGTTATTTTAATAGTTTGTACAATTTGCCTGTACAGATTATAGAAATGAGAAAGTGAAGACTCTGGAAAGTTTTTTTAAAAAGATTTTCTTTATTTATTTTTAGAGAGGGGAAGAGAGAGGAACAGAATTTATTATTGTATTATTATTTAATTATTGTATTATTTTCCACAGAATAACTGTAAACCTACTTTTGCCCCACCTTGTGCATTCACAGAGCCAAGTGATGTGCATACACATTAAGTATTAAAGTAAACTTGAGGCGATAGAGTCTTAGTTTAATCTTCATCAGGTTCTTTTTCTGAAAAGTTGATGACTAAGATAAAATAGAGATCATTATTTATTTTCTTTGGCAAAATAGACAAATTGCCCCTTAAAAACTTTGTATCATCGTCATTTTCAAATATGTACAATAGTAGAGAGAATAGCAAAATGAACACCCATGCCCACCACCCACCTTCTACAGCTGTCAGCATTTTGCTCTTTTTCTTTTCTTAATGAATTTTTATTTTCAATTACAGTTGACATACAACAGTTTCAGGTTTACAACCTAGTGATTAGACATTTATATAACTTAAATGATCACCCTGATAAGTCTAATCCCATCTGGCACCATATTTAGTTATTACAATATTATTAACTATATCCCCTATACTGTACTTTACATTCCCATGACTATTTTATAGCTACCAATTTGTACTTAATCCCTTCATCTTTTTCACCCAGCCCCTTTTCCCCCCTCCCTTCTGGCAACTGTCAAAATGTTCTGTGTATCTATGAGTCTGTTTCTGTTTTGTTTGTTCATTTATTTTGTTTTTTAGATTCCACACATAAGTGAAATCATGTGGTATGTGTCTTTCTCTGACTGATTTATTTTACTCAGCTCAATACCCTCTAAGTCCATCCATGTTGTTACAAATGGCAAGCTTTCATTCTCTTTTATTGCCGAGTTATGTTACATGGTCAAAATGTGCCACTTCTTTATTGATTCATCTATTGATGGACACTTAGGTTGCTTCCATATCTTGGCTATTATAAATAATGCTGCAGTGAACATATGGGTGTATAAATCTTTTCTATTTATTTGTTTATTTATTCATTCACTCATTCATTCCTTTTTAAAAATGTCTTTTCAATCTAGTGTTTTAGGTTTCCTTAGATAAATACCCAGAAGTGGAATTGCTGGATTCTTCTTTATCTCTTTTATATCCTTTGTTTTAAAGTCTATTTTGTCTGGTATACATATTGCTACCACAGCTTTTTTTGTTTCCATTTTCAAGAATATCTTTTTCCATCCCTTTACTTTTCAGTTTGTGTATGTCTTTCTACCTGAAGTGAGTGTCTAGTCAACAGTATATGTATAGGTCTTTTTTTCTTATCCATTCAACCACCTTTTGCCTTTTGACTGGAACTTTTAGTTCATTTACATTTAAAGTAATTATTGAACCCTGGCTGTTGTGATTCAGTGGATTGATCACCAGCCTGGAAACTGAAAACATTACCAGTTTGATTCCTAATCAGGGCACATGCCAGGATTGCAGGCAGGGTCCCTGGTTGAGGGTGTGCGAGAAGTAACCTATTGATGTATCTCTCATACACTGATGTTTCTTTCCTTCTCTTTCTCCTTTCCTCCTCTCTAAAAGTAAATAAATAAAAATCTTAGAACAATAATTATCGATAGATTTGTATTTATTGCCATTTTATTGTTTATATTTATCTTTTTTTTTCTTCTTAAAAAAGGCCTTTTAACATTTTGTGTAATACTGATTTTGTGACAATCAACAACTCCTCTGACTTTTTCTTGTGTGGGAAGATATTTATATGTCCCTCAATTATAAATGATAGCTTTGCTGGGTAAAGTAGTCTTGGTTGTAGGTCCCTGCTTTGCACCAGTTGGAATATTTTGTGCAAATCCCTTCCTGTCTGCAAAGTTTCTGTGGAAAAATCAGCTGACAGTTTTATAGGAACGCCATTGCAGGTAACTAACTGCTTTTCTCTTGCTGCTTTTAACATTCTCTCTTTGTCTTTAACCTTTGGCATTCTAATTGTGATGTGTCCCGGTGTGGGCCTGGACTCTCTGTACTTTCTGAACTTGTGTCTCTATTTTCTTTACCACGTTAGGGAAGTTTTTCATCATTATTTTTTCAAGTAAGTTTTCAATTCCTTCTGGTAACCCCATGATGCAAATGTTGGTGTACTTGATGTTGTCCCAAAGGCCCCTTAAACTATCTTCATTTGGGGGGATTCTTTTTCTTTTTTGTTGTTCTGTCTGGGTGTTTTTTGCTACCTTCTGTTCCAAATTGCTGATTTGATCCTCTGCTTCAACTACTCTACTGTTGATTCCTTTTACTATATTCTTCATTTTAGTTATTGTACTCTTCACTTCTGACTGGTCCTTTTTTATATTTTATACCTTCATATTTATGTTTTTATCTCTTTGTTGAGTTAATCTATTCTTTTCCTAAGTTCATTGAGCATCCTTACAACTAGTGTTTTGAACCCTATATCTGGTAGATTGCTTGTCTCCATTTTGTTTAATTCTTTTTCTGGAGTTTTGTCCTGTTCTGTCATTTGTGAAATGTTTCTTTGTCTCCTCATTTTGGCTGACTCCCTGTGTTTGTTTCTATGTATTAGATAGAGCTGCTATGTCTCCCAGGCTTCATAGAGTGGCCTTATATAGTAGATGTCCTGTCAGGCCCACTGGCACAGCCTGGATAGTCACCTGAGCTGGGCACGTCATGTGTGCCCGCCCCCCTGCAGTGTGGGCTGTGCGCACTCTCTTGTTGTAGTTGAGCCTTGATTGTGGTTGGCCCATCAATGGGAGGGATTGACTCCCAGGCTAATCGGCTGAAAGGACTGGCCAAGACTACAACAGATGAGCTTTTGTGCAGGGGCTGACCCCATCAGTGGGTCTCTGGTGCCAGTTGAGACTGCCCCTTGAATGTGTCACTGGTGGAATTGATTGGGCAGTGCTCTGGTGTGGTCTGAAGCTGTCTACTGGGTGCACTGGCTCTGGGGCCTTCTGAGAGGTGCAGGCCAAGGTTAGCCACTCCTTGTGTCATGTCAGGGGTCACCTGGCATGAACTACAAAGCAATCTGCAGACCGTTGCCACTTGTGCTGGGCGTGGAGGTGCCCGGGAGAGGCCAAGCTGTGAACTGAGGCTGGCTGCCACCAGTGCCAGTCTTAGGGCTGCTTAGCAACAGGGACAGGGCATGCTGAAGCCAGATGCTACTTGTTTGGGGTTTGTGAACCTTTGAGAGATTTTAGCAAAGTCCAAAGTGTAAACCAAGATAGGCTGTTTATATGGAAACGCCACTGGAAGTGGCTTGAGTAGGTTTGAGAGTTGGGTGGGGTGGATGGAGTCTCAGGGAAATACCAGAGCAGGATGAACAGTGATGAACAGTTTGACTCAGGTGAATGGAGACTCAGATCCAGCACCCACCTGCTGGGTCTGTGGGGAGGGGTCTCAGCAAAGGAACAGTGTCTTCTGCCAGAACTTCTGTCTGGGAGAAAGCTGCCACTCCCCCCCTCACCCTAAAGCCAGACAATTCAGTTCCTACCCCTATGTCTCTGATGCCTTTTGAGCTGCTGCCTTAGCTCTGGAGCTCAGAACAAGTGAGTCCTTCAGGAGTAACTCCGTGTGCTGGCCCTTAAAGAGGAATGCCTGGGACCCTGGAAGCCCTCTGTCTCACTTGGCCACAATCTCCACTGATTTTCACAGCCAGAGATTATGAGGATTTCTCTCTCCAGCACTAGAACCCTAGCCCTGGATTGGGGGTCCTGGTGTAGGGCTGGGACCCCTCATTCGTAGGGGGTCCTCTGCAGCTAAATTATTCCTCCTGATTCTTTTTTATTAAAAAAGATTTTATTTATTTATTATTAGAGGGGAAGGGAAGGAGAAAGAGAGGGAGAGAAACATGACATGTGATAGATACGTCAACTGGTTGCCTCTTGCACTTCCCCAACTGGGGACCTGACCCTCAACCCAGGCATGTGCCCTGACTGGGAATCGAACTGGCGATCTTTTGGCTCACAGGCCGGCACTCAGTCCACTGAGCCACACCAGCCAGGGCTATGCCTCCTAATTCTTTAGTAGCTCACGTGGGTGTGGAACCTGACTGTCCTGCACCCCTGCGCCTCCTCCTAGTCTCCATGTGGCTTCTTCCATATATCCTTAGTTATAGGACTTTTGTTCAGCTAGACTTCATGGGGGTCTCAGTGATGGCTGTTCAGTAGTTCAGTTGTAAGTCTGAAGTGATCATGAGAGGATGTTAGTAGTGCATTTACCTACTCTCCCATTTTGTCTGGAGCCTGTTTTTCTTCATTGAATCCCCTGCCCTCCCCCAGCTTTATTTTGTGAAGAATTTAAGGAGGACATAGAAGATTCCAGTCCATTAAATATGAAAGCAGTAGATCTGATATAGTATTGTAAGATACCAAATCAAGACTATTATAAAAGAGTTATTAAAAATGTAAATTGTTTTTGTATCAGTTTAAACATTTGCTCATCAGAAATTTATTCAGCACCTACTGTGTGCCAGAAATGATGGAGCCACAGTCCTTTATCCTCACATTCTAGTAGCAGGCGAGGATGTGCAGATGGTGAGCTGTCTGTGTGGAGGTGGCCACAAAGACCAGAGAGCAGTCAGCGTTGTCTGACAGTGGTAGCAGGTGGCAGGGAGAACGGGTCATTAGGCTGGAAGGACCGGGTAGGGTTTCATCTGGGGCCCCAGTCCAGGCTGCTACAAGACACTTGATTAAAAACAGTTTTGTTAATAATGAATGTCAACTTTAATTGGAAGAAATAAAAAAAAAATTTAAAAAAGAAATGGGAAAAAGCAGTTTGGTCAAAAATAGTGGATTAAGATGACTTTTGGTCAAAAATAAGAGCTTCATTGATTAGTTGTTCAAGTGTTGGTAATTGTAATGAACCAGGAAGTAGATTTATAATCCTGTATGCATCTTTGAGCTGTTTTTCTGAATTCTGTAAGTTTTTTTTCTACTTTTTTGCATATTCATTTCTAATTTATTTTTCGGCCAGTTATTTCTGTTCTGCAAATTAATCGTGGAAAGTTAAAAGCAACCAATTTCTAAAAAGTTGGAAGTCCAACTTCTCACTGCAACAAATGGTACAGGCAAACTGGGTCATAAGGTCACCCACTTCAAGGAGGATCTTAATGATGAATGTGTGTATTTGCAGGTTGAAAATGAGTTACTGGGCAAGGTTTGTTTTCATCTGTGTCACTGAGGCAGCCTGCCTCAAGGAACAACTACTTTTCTGACAAAGTCAGATGCTACCCCCAGGCAGGGTAGGCCCAACCCATTTGGGGAATGGCAGGAGCACAGGGGCGGGGGATGTGTTAGAAAGTTAGAGAGGAGCCCTGCTTGCAAAGGGCTCACTCTGAGGAATTTGGCCTCAGTTCTCCAATCCTGTGAGCCACGGAAGGTGCTCAGGAATGAGCAGGATAGACAAAGACCTGGGCTCTCTGCATCGCTCCAGAACCAGCTGCTACGTGACCTTGCAAAACCTGTCCCTGCTCCCTGCTTTGTTTAGCTCGCCTGTGGAAAGGGAGTTTCTGTGATTGTACTCGAGTTGTCAAATGTCTTTATTTGCTTTTACATTTTTTTCTACTTTTTTTTTTTAAATCAGATGGTGAACATTCTGTTCTGAATTTAAAGGTAAGATTACTTTTTAAAAAATTGGTTTTCTCAATAGATTGAATTTCCACCATAATTTTTAAACAACTTTTGTGATATGTGGGAAAAAGAACTTGCCTTAAGAGTTCTATCTGATTGAATATTTCTTTTTAAATACTTTTAAAAAGTTGAAGAGACTCATGTTTTCCAGTTTAAAAGTGAAAGTAATGTATTGAGAGGTTAGAAACCACTTACATAATTTGTAGAGTGAATAGACAATAACTAATTTGCAAACATGGAAATAGTTCTAATTTAAGTTTTGAATTGTGTGATGTCATAGGAATTTAAAAATTAAACATTTCTCAGTAGAATTTATAACCTCATCTACTTTTTCAGCAGAAGCTAGAAGCGTAATATCAGACTGATGTGTAATGAAAAAATTAACAAAAGTTCAAAGGTTTCCTTTTCCTCAAAGTTTTGTGTTGAAAAACAAGATCTTACATTCTTTTCTGAGTACCCTGAAAACATGCATCTCTGTAGTTTATGGGGTCTTCTTGCATATCCCAAGGGAAAAAGGCCCGGTTGGAGTTTGTTTTGCACATTTCTGCTCAGTACTTGCAGCCATATCACATGCTTTAGAATGTGAATTGATGGCCTGTTACTCGTGGGACCTACATATAAGGACACAGTGACTGTCTGAACTCACAGGCAAAGACAGAAAGTTTGAACAGAGGATGCTAAGACTCTCAATTTATTAGGCTTATGTTTTTTCTCCCCACCCAGGATGAAAAACCACCGTTATATGGAAAACCCCCACCCTCACCAGGTATTTACCTTCTGGTTTTCATTATGATTGAAAAACTTATAGTTTTATAGAATACCCAGAGTAATCTCATCTAAAATAAAGATCTCTTTTTTCCCCTCCCCTATAAAAGCTGCTGCTTCTGTCCCATTACTGGAATTGGGAAAAGGTAGCAATTGAATATCTACCTTTGCCTCACAAGACAGGGTCCAGCCCTGCCTGGCATGGTTCAGTTGGTTGAGCATTGTCCCACAAAACAAAACATCTCTGGTTCAATTCCCAGTCAGGGCACCTACCTAAGTTTTGGCTAGTCTCCAGTTGGGGCATGTGTGTGTAAGAGGCAACTGATCAATGTTTCTCTCCCTTTCTTTTTTCCTCCCTTCCTCTCGCTCTAAAAAAAAAAAAAAAAATTAAATATTTTTAAAAAAAGAGAGAGAGAGAGAGAAGATCCAAATAGTCAAACATTGGATGGTACAAGTATGTCCCCATGGGATGTGCTCAGACCCTGGGGGTGGTGGGTAGAGGGACCTGTGGGGTTTGCTTAGATGTTGGAGGGTGGGTATATGCAAATGAGGGCTCTGCTCTGGGGCTAGAGGCAGAGTGTGAGGTCTAGAGATGTTTTCTGGTATACTTCCCATTTATGGAGCTTCAGTAGCTTTCAAAGTGAATTTTGCCATTTTTGCCTGTTAGGCTTCACATCACTATTTGAAAACCATATTGGGTATCAAGACTTTTAAGTGTATCCTCTATGTGGGATTGACTTGATTTTCACATGTGTTTTTGGTGCTACATTGTGGGAGTTTTCTAGGGCTATAACTTCTAGCCCACAGGCTCATTCATCATTGTATGTATTCTGCCACCCAGCCATCCTTTGAATTGATATATTATTTAAAATGCTTACATGATTTCTATGAAGTATTGGCAAGTGTCTCTGAGAATATTAAATATACTCATTCCAAAGTCTTGTAGTTTTTGTGCCAGCCACTCTTTCCTGTTACTTGACTTTGGTGCTTCTATGGGCTCAGACACTCGATGGTTCTTGTTGGTGTGCCCACCTTGGTTCCTGAGAGTCCCTATTGGTCTGCCTGGGGATGCTGTATCTGCTTACTGCAGGCTGCTCAGATGGGGAAGCCAGCCAGGCTGCCAGTAGTACAGCCTGTTTCCAGTGACTGACAGGCCTTTGGGTTGCCCTGCCTCTCAGACCTCAGTGCCTATAGGTACTGCCTGCCAAGGGGCATGCATCTCTGCTGTCGGCTGCCTGGCCAGGGGTTTGAGCCCTATTTGGTGCTCTAATGGACACCTCATTGGTCCTTTCTAGGCCACTTCAGTTCCCACTACCTGCCAGGGCAAAACATCCCCACTTTTTGTAGCTAATATCTCCCAGCATATTCTAGGCTGCAGCTTCTGTCTTCAGCCTAATCTCAGCTGTTTTCTTTCTGGGATTCCTCATGGTTCCCCTCTTGTTCTCAGCGTAGCTGTGGAGTTACTCACTTCATAGCCTTTCCTTTCATGTTCTAAGGACCGGATATATATGTATCAGGGGTCGGGGGAAGTTATCTGGAGTCACAGTCCCCTCCCTGGCCCTTGTCCGTCCCCTGGGGTGTGCATCGAATCTACTGTCTGGAGCCACCAGTCCTCGCACCCTTGTCTGTCCACAGAAGCTCTGCTTCTGGTTCCACCTCTGGAAGCATGCCCTGGCCAGGGAGCCCATGGTAGTTGTCACCCATTTTTGGCCTCTTTGAGCTTATCTCACAATGGAATATCACTCTCTGTTTTCTTCCTATCTTTCTTACTATTTCTTGTAGCGTAGCACGATGAGCGGGGTGGGTGGGGGCAGCGCCATGGCGGGTCGCAGCTCGTCCCGGGCCCGGAGCAGCAATTGCCATGCCAGGGGGATGGGGCATGGAGCTCCTGGGATCTGAGGATTACCATCCGGGGCCAGCTGAGATGGGAGCAGGGCTCTGAATCCTGCAGAGCCCGTCCCAGGGTTGTCACGGTTGGGGGGAATAAACACGAGTTGTCGCAAACACTTCTCTGTTTGCCAGAAGGGACATGGCACATCCCCCTAATGGGGAAGGCCCAGAGTAACCTTTGTTCAAAGGCTTTTATTGAAAAGGTTATCAGTGGGGCCAGGTAGCAGGAAGGCACAGGTTGTCTCATTACATCAGTATGTTAGTGTTCACAGAGAATGGGTGATGTTTTGAAGAAAACAAATGGCAGGAACACACCAATTTACATGGGTCCGAGAGGAGACTAGTAAACAAGAGAGATGACTAAACATGAGAGCGTAGTAAACACAAGAGTGCCTAAAGGTATAGGGTTAGGGTCTGTGGATAATGTAAATTTCCTTCCCAGCTTGAGCCGGCTAGAGCTTCTGAGGGAAGAACAAAGCATCATTTAAAGAATTTACTTTTAGGCCTGATTTCCCTGGGAACAGCCAGATTTGGTTTAGGACTGACTCCGGTATTGCATTGTTTCGAGCCTGAGCCAGGCGCGGGTGGGGAGCCACCAAGAGACAAGGAAACCTCTTTCAGATAGAATGAGGACTCCGGCCATGTCCAAGCCAAGCCGAGGGATGCGGGCCTTTTTGGCCTTTCTCTGTGTCCCCCAATTTCTTGTCTGCTGCCAATACCTCAATCGGTATCTGTCTAGGTCGATATCTCGGCTCGAGATAACTTACCCGTCAGGGATTATCGACCATCGCATGGCAGAGCAGAAAGGCAGGAGCTATGCCCCTGCCAGTGGGGACAGGTTGTGCCTCCTCAGGAGCCTGTTTCTCTACGGCCTCCCTGATTATTTCCAGCCTTGGGGCCCTCCAGCCTGTTGGTGGGGTTACAGTTCCTGAAACCAGACAGGGCATTTCCCAACAATTTCTCCTTAAAATCCTTTGTGCTCATCAGTTTTCTTCTCTCCCTGGTGCCATTATGTTAGTGCCCACATGCTGGCGGCGCCCGTCTCTTCAGCTGAGGCTGCCTTCAGAGCTTTGGGTCTGTTTCTAGACTGAGCTTACGTTCCCTTGCTCCAGCTGTGTTCCTTGTCTGGCTAAGTATCTTCCAAACCACAGATCTTGGTGCTCATCCTTGATTTTCTTCTCCTCACTGTCCACACCCCGTCAGCTGTTGAGCCCTGTGGGGTCTCATCCCTGAATCCTTCTCTCATATAACCCTTCCTCTCCATCCCCACCGTAGTGCCGCCCTTCAGAGCCCCTCTGGGCTGGGCCTCATTCATTCACCTTCTTTCCTGCTGGCCTGACGATTCATCTGAGAGTAGAGCCTCTTCCTTTTCACACTTGCCTAAAAGGCTTTCTGGTTCCTGGTGGCCTCCCCTGGTTCCTGCCTACCCCTCTGTCACCTCTCCTCCTGTCACCCACTGTAGCCTCATCAGGCCACTCCTTCTTATACAGGCCATTTTCTTTTCCAGGATCAAGAGCATAATATGAGGCCTGACAGAGAGTAGTTGCTCACATGGTTTTTCAGAAGAGGTCTTGAGTAATTTTGACATAAAATTGTAAATGTCAGTTAATATTTTAAAACATTTTCCCTTTCCCTGTACCTTTTCAGATATAACTGGTAAAACACGTCAACAATGTATAGAAATAACCAAAGAAAAGTTTGAGGAATTAAAAGAAGAAAATTTACATCTGAACAGTACAAACCAAACCCTTACTCTTGACCTTAACATAGTAAAGCAGGAAGTGAAAAAACTACGATTAAAACTTAAGAAAATACAAAAAGAAAATGGACAGCGGAAAGAGGCTGAGAAAGCATCCTCTCAGGAAGGTGGGGACAGCTACACAGTTCTTTCATTAAAGAAACGAACAGGACTTTATTCATTTTTTTATTTGAGAGTTAATATTTTAGGTTATAATATTTATTGTTAATATTCATATTTTGTGTTATAATATTTTAGGTTCTTTCATTAATATCCTTATACTTGTGGTAATTTGATTTTATCTGCTCTATCATTATTATTGTTATGCCAAACATTTCTAGTACTTCTGGATTTGATGTTTAGGAAAGTAACTTTACATATATTTCATATTAGTTTTTATACCACTGAACAGCATATAAAAGTGCCTTTTACCACATATTTACCAGTGATGAGATTATATTTTTCTTGCTAATTTGATAGGAAAAAAAGGATCACATTTTAATTTGTATTTCTTTTATTATTGATGAGCTTAAATATTTTTTCATGTCTTTGCAGGTCACTTTTCATTTTTAAATTTTCCCACTTTATATTGAGATACTTGGCTTTTTCTCATTGGTTTGTAGGAGCTCTTTATATGTTAAGGATGTTAGCCTTTGTCATATATGTAATATTTTCTTAGTTTCTTGATAATTTAACTAAACCTATGAAATATTTTTTATGACTTATGCCCTTTTTACCTGTTAGATTATATAAATAATTACTAATGTTGTCTCTCTACATTTATCTATTAATATAGGACTAATATTATTGCCGAAAGAGAAATGATGTCATTTTCTTTATATAGACTCTGCATATTTCTTGTTTTATGCACATTTATTTCTATGTACTTTATGTTATTTGTGTTATTACTTTGTGGGATCTATTTTCTATTATGTTTTCTAATAGATATTGCTATTATTTGGAAAGGTTATTCTAATAAATTTTCCATTTATCCTATGTGATTTGGAAGGCAAATATTTATATATCATTGGAAACAATGACTTTTCCTTTTCAATTTAAGTTTTTATTTTACCTTAATTAATTGTCCATATAAAAACTTCCACAAACTTCTAAGGTGTTGACTATTCAGTGTTAAAAAACTTAGGAACTTTTATTCATTTATACCTATATATTTATCATGCACTGCCTCTGTGAGCCTAAAAGGAAAAAAGGGAAGATAGTTAGCAATTTATATAAAATCTTAATTAATATACAAATTCTTATAGTATGATATTTTTTTCAATAGTTGCTGCACCTGAATTACTTTCACTAAGAAAACAAACTCAAGAACTACTGGATGAAAATGATGGGTTGAAAATGACTGTCCATCGTTTGAATGTAGAACTGAGCAGATATCAAACAAAATTCAGGCATTTATCTAAGGAAGAGGTAATGTTTCCAATTAAGATATATCAGTTTTCAGACTTTTTTTAGCCTTTCCTGTTAAATTGATTTCCAAATATGGGGTATTCATATTTATTACAGAATTTGATATAAAAAGACAAAGTACAGTATTTCTAGGGACCTTTCTATCTCCTTCTTCCTTCCACCTCCTCCCCTCCTTTTCTCCCTTCTCCTCTCCCTCTCTCACTTCCTTTCTTCCTGCCTTTCTCATAACAAAGGCAGTAAGGGCTCTTTGGAAAAAATTAGGACTGCCCTGGCCAGTGTGGCTCAGTTGGTTGGAGCATCGTCCTATAAACCAAAAAGTTACAGGTTCAATTCCCAGTCAGGACACATGCCTGGGTGGCAGGTTTGGTTCCTGGTTGGGGGCACATGTGAGAGGCAACCAGTTGATGTTTCCCTCTCACATCAATGTTTCTCTCCCTATATCTCTCTCCCTCCCTTTGCTTCTCTCTAAAATCAATAAGCATGTTCTAATGTGAGGATAACAAAAAAATAAATAAATAAATGGGACAATACAGAAGTTTATATAAACTAAAAGAATGAAAGTCTATACAGCTGCTCCATTCTCAGTCCTGTTCCTCAAATTTACAGCTGTTATCTATCAGTTCACTAACTTCCAAAAGAAGGCAGACTAGTTTTTACAGACCTCGAATACCTAACTCTAGTCAATGGGACTTGAATTTATGAGTCCCATACAGGTGTATAGCAAACAAAGAAACAGTTTCTGTTTATTATTTTTTAAAAGATTTTATTTAATTTATTTTTAGAGACAGGGGAAAGAAGGGAGAGGGAGAGAAACATCAATGTGTGGTTGCCTCTCACAATCCCCTTACTGGGGACCTGGCCCATAATCCAGCCATGTACCCTGACTGGGAATCAAACCAGTGACCCTTTGGTTCATAGGCCGGCACTCAACCCACTAAGTCACACATGCCAGGGCCAAAGAAACAATTTTTAAATGGGCTCAACTATATGCCCAGCCTCAGCACAAAGGGAACAGACAAAAATGACCATCTCCTACTTTTTCCCTGAAAGAGGTATAATTACATACTTTCGTAGCTGCTGCCTGGATTCTAATCATCTAGGTGCTGATTGCATTCTCTCTCATTGGAACACTGGTGGGTATTGGTACATCCTCAACTAATGGGAGCCCCTAAGAACAAAGACATTGGACAAAGATTTGAAGGGCAACTAGGAGCTCCAATTGGGCTGATTGATGAGGTTCATCTCCAACAAGAGATCATTTGACTGATTGGTGAGGTTTATCTTTTACAAGAGACCATTCTGACAAGACTGGGAGAGGAGGCTGCAATACCAACACAGAGGATCAAGGAAAATGAAGAAAGGAGGAAATGTTTTATGCAAAAGAACAAAATTAGGCTTCTGAAACCAACCTGAAGGAGTTCATCGCCAGCAGACCAGCCTTACAAGAAATGTTAGAAGGAGTTCTTTAGGCTGAAAAGAATGGGTGCTAATTAGTAACAAAATCATATAAAAGTGTAAAACTCACTGGTAAAGGTAATTAGTTAAATTCAGAATACTCTAATATTGTAGTGGTTGTGGGTCTATCACTTATAGCTCTAGTAAAAAGATTAAAGACAAAAGTATTTAAAATAACTATACAATAATTTATTAGTGGATACACAATATAAAAAGATATAAAGTATGATATCAAAAATAAAATGTGGGGTTATGGTAAAAACATAGAACTTTGTATGTTTAGTGTTAACCAAGACCCACCAGTATCCCAACAAGGGCAATTTTAGTGAGCATGTAGATGTATGCTGATTAGAAGCTCAAAGTTAAGATGTTATTAGCTTAAATGACTGTTAAAAAATGTTTTATGCAAGCCTCATGGTAGTCACAAAGCAAAAACCTATAGTAGGTATACACAAAAAATAAAGAGAAAGGAATCAAGAATCAAAGCACACCACTACATAAAATCATCAAACCACAAAGGAAGAGAGTAAGAAATGGAGAAACAAAGAAATAAACTACAAAACAGCCAGGAAACAATGGGCAAAATGGCAATTAAAAAGTCCATACTTAATTATTTTAAATGAAAGGACTAAATTCTACAATCAAAAGACATAGAGTAGCAAAATGGATAAAAGAAAAGCAAGACCCTACTATATGCTACCTAAAAAGATTTCCTTCAGGTGTAAGGACACACTTAGACTGAAAGTGAAGGGATGGAAAAATATATTTAATGCAGATGGAAAGCATGAGTGACTATGCTTATATCGGACAAGATAAACTTTAAGTCAAAACTGTAAAAGAGACAAAGTTTATTATATAATAATAAAGGAGTCAGTTCATCAAGAAAATATAATAGTTGTAAATATTTATGCACCCAACATCAGAGCACCTAAATATATAAAGCAAATATTAACAACTGCAGGGAGGAACAGCAATAATAGTAGGGGACTTCAATACTCCAACAATAGATAAATCATCAAGACAGAAGATCAGTATGGAAATATTGGACTTAAACTACATGTTAAACCAGATGGACCTAATACAGAACTTTTTATCTAACAGTAGAAGAATACACATTCTTCTCAAGTTCACATGGAATATTCTTCAGTAAAAACCATATGTTAGATCACAAGTCAATAAATTTAAGAAGATTGAAATCATATCAAGAATCTTTTCTAACCACAATTTATGAAATTGGAAACCAATTACAAGAAAAAAAAACAACCAGGAAATCTTGCAGATATGTGGAGATTGAACAACATGCTACTGAACATCCAGGGATCAAAGAAGAAATCAAAAGAAAAATTTTTAAAAAATACCTTGAGACAGCCCTGGCTAGCGTGGCTCAGGGCATTGAGTGTCAGCCTGAGAAACAAAGGGTTGTCAGATCGATTCCTGGTCAGGGCACATACGTGGGTTGCGGGCAGGGTTCCCCAGTTACGGGCACCCAAGAGGCGCAACACATTGATGTTTCTCTCCCTCTCTTTTTCCCTTTCTTCCCCTCTCTAAAAATAAGTAAATAAAATATTTTTTAAAAAATACCTTGAGAAAAATGAAAATGGAAGCACAACTTACCAAAACTCATGGGATGCAGCAACAGCAGTTCCAAAGCAACAAATACAAATGTTAAGAATAAAGAATAAATAAACAACCTAAGTTTACACCTCAAGGAACTAGGAAAAGAAGACCTTTGTAAGTAAGCCCAAAGTGAACTGAAGGAATAAAATGAAAATAAGCGGAGAATAAATGAAATAGAGGCTAAAATGACAACAACACATCAATGAAACTAAGAGCTGTTTTTTTGAAAAGATAAATAAAATTGGCCAACCTTTAGCTAGACTAAGAAAAAGAGAAAATTCAAATAAATAAAAAGGAGGAGGCATTACAACTAAGAACACAAAAATACTAAGGATCGTAAGAAACTACCATGAACAATTATACTCCAACAAATTAGATGACCCAGAAGAACTTGATAAATTCCTAGAAATCTACAACATAGAAAGACTGAATTATAAAGAAATAGAAATTCTGAACAGATCAATTACTAGTATGGAGATTGAAAAAAGAAAAGCCCAGGACAAGATGGCTTTACTGGTGAATTGTGCCAGTAAACCTTTAAAGGAAAATTAATACCAATCCTTCTTAAATGCTTCCAAAAAGTTGAAAAGGAAGAAACACTTCCAAATTCATTTTACAAAATCAGCATTACCTTGATTCCAACACCATACAAGAACACTAAAAGAAAAGAAAATTACAGGCCAATATCCCTGATGAACAGAGATGCAAAAATCCTCAAAAAAAATATAAGCAAACTGACCTTGACAGTACATTAAAAGGATCATACACCATGATGAAGTGTGATTTATTCCTCAGGTGCAAAAATGGTTCAATATATAAGTCAATATATGCAACACACCACATTAAATGAATAAAAGTCATGATCATTTTAATAGGTGCATAAATAGCATGTGACAAAATTCAACACCTTTTCACCATAAAAACTCAACTTTGAGAAAGAAGAACAAAGCTGGAGGCATCACACCTGATTTCAAATGACATTACAAAGCTATGGTAATCAAAATAGTATGGAACTGCCGTAAAAATAGGCACATCAATGGAACAGAATAGAGGGCCCAGAAATAAATCCATGAATATATGGTTGGTTTATTCTTGATAAAGGAGGCAAGGATATACAACAAAGAGTGGATAGTCTCTTCAATAAGTGCTGATTGGAAAACTGGATATACTCACGCAAAAGAATCTTACACCATATACAAAAATCAGCTCAAGTAGATTAAAGACTTGAATGTAAAGCCTGAAACAATAACAGTCCTTAACATTGGCCTTGGCAATGATTTTTTGGATTTGACCAAAAGCAATGTCAATAAAAGCAAAAATAAAGAAATGGGACTACATCAAAATAAAAATCTACATAGCAAATGTACCATGAACATAATGAAATGGAACTCATGGAATTGGAGAAAATATTTGCAAACCACATCTTTGATAAAGGGTTAGTGTCCGAAACATACAAAGAATTCACATAATTCAATAGCACAAAAACAAATAAACCAATTTTTTAAATGGATGAAGGACCTAAATACAATAGATATTTTCCCAAAAAGACATATAAATGGCCAACAATTACGTGAAAAGTTGCTCAGCACTACTAATCATGAGGGAAATGCAAATCGAAACCACAGGAAGATATCACCTCACACCTGTTAGCATGTCAGTTATCAAAAAGATGAGATAAGAAATGCTGGTATGAGTATAAAGAAAAGGGAAACCTTGTACATTGTTGATAGGAATGTGAATTAGTACAGTCCCAATGGAGAACAGTGTGGAGGTTCATCAGGAAATCAAAAATAGAACTACCATATGATTCAGCAAGCCCACTTCTAGATATATATCCAAAAGAAACAAAATCACTATCTGGATAACATGTCTGTATACCCCTATTTATTACAGCATTATTCATATCAGCTAAGGTATGAAAACCTATGTTTCCATGGATAAAGAAAAATGTGAGGTATATGTGGTTTATGATATATATGTATATGAATGATTTGCACATATATAATGGAATATTATTTAGACTTTAAAAAGAAGGTAATCCTTCCATTTGCAACAACATAGATGACTCTGAAGGGCATTGTGCTAAGTGAAATAAGCCAGACAGATACTGCATAGTATTACTTGTATATGGATTCTAAAAAAGAAAAGAAAATAGGTGAAATTTGAATATATTCTGTAGATTAGAATATAGTACATCACTGTTGATTTCTTGATATTTTAAAAAGGCTTTATTTATTTTTAGAGAAAGGGGAAGGGAGGGAGAAAGAGAGGGAGAAAAACAGCAATGTGTGGTTGCCTCTTGCATGTCCCCAACTGGGGATCTGGCCCACAATCCAGGCATGTGCCCTGACTGGGAATCAAACCAGCAACCCTTTGTTTCACAGGCCAGCACTCAATCCACTGAGCCACACCAGCCAGGGCTGATTTCTGGATTTTTATGATGGTGCCATGGTGGAGTAAGTGAAGGCTTTTTTTTTTTTTTTTTTTTTTTTTGGAATTATACACCAAAGTATTGCAGGAAAGGAGCGATTATATCTGCAAATTATTCTTGAACAATTCAAAAGAAATTTTTCTCATGTATATATATGTGCCTATATATATAGATGCATAGATCGCTGATGCACAGTAGATCAAGAACATCTAAGTCTTGAAATTTCAGAAGTGTAGTTTAATTTGTCTTCAAAATGTGTTTTGTTCATAGAGTATAAATATTGAAGGCCTCCCGTCAAAGGGCCCTATACCACCCTGGTTGGTAAGTGAAAGTTACTTAATTTTAGGCCCATATTTTCTGGGCTATATTTGAAAAGCTATTCATATCTACTCCAGATTAAGTGTATTTTCTCACCTTTTTAAAAATTTGCTGATTGTGTTTAGATGTAAGAAATATATTAATCTTTTTTACCCCATTATCTTCAGTTGGATATAAAGTATCTGTCACCCTTGTTGCTGGCTTACGAAGACAGAATGAAAGAGAAGGATGAGCTCATTGCCACCCTTCAGGTAGGTTGGCAGATGTCTCAGGGGAGAAAAGGTTAAAAAAAATAAGACCATTTCAAACTTTGAAGAAACATTTTGAAGTAGGTATGCCCAACATCTAATAGGTTATCAAATATTTGTTAAAGGAAAGGAGAAAGGAGTGTAGCAGGGTAGGAGGGAGGGAACGAAGGAAGAGGGGAGGCAGGATGGGAGCAACTGGTGGAGCAGGAGCGGGAGGCAGAGAGAGATGAGGAGGTGTGGAGGGACAGGGTGGTTCTGCATAGGAAAGGCAGCAATGGGAGGAGCTCCTTTCCTGGTACCCTGCAGCTGCAAATGCCACTGTTAGAACAGACATTTGGGCAGATCAGGTTAGGTAGTAGTAGCTAGGGGCATTTTACGTAGACTTCTTAATTCAGTGAAGAGCTGACCCCAGGGAAGTCCAATTATTGAGCTGTTGGAAACAGTGAGAAAGTGAGGTTTTTATTTATTTCTGCCTTGTTCACCTCTATTTTATAGGAATGGCTTCTGGCAATGGAGCTCATTTTAATTACACAGGAGACCAAAGCTATGTGGGTGCTGTAGATACATTCATGCCTCTCCGTGCTACACCCCTTTGGGTTCCTCATTTAAGTGGCCCAAGAGATCTCTGGCATTGGAATGACCCAGGGAGAGAAGTGTTGGTTTGTCTGGGATCCCCAGCTGGAAGGGTCTCTGAAGGCCAGCCTGTACTTCCTACACTTGTCTCATGTATATGGCCCATGTAATGCAGTTGTGAACATTTTCTTCTAGTGAATAAATCTTATACTAATTGATGAAATATCAATCCTCATAATTAAGAAAATTACTAATTCAAAGCTCCCTCTAAATCAGGAGGTCAGGAAACATTTTCCATAAAGGGCCATTTAGTAAATAATTTCGGCTTTGAAGGCTATGCAGTCACTGTTTTACAACTACTTGGCTCTGCTGTTCTAGCATGGAAGCAGCCATAGACACCGTGTAAACAAGTGGGCACATCTGTGTTCCAATAAAGCATTATTTACAAAACAGGCAGCTGGCCTGGGGGCTTTAGTTTGCCTGACCCTTGTTCTGAAAGAGCCAGTGGACTGCCAGCAAGTGGGGGTAGGTCTGAGCAGAAAGTTGAGGAAGAGAAGTTATTAGCATTGTTTAAGTTAAACAGGGATAAGCGTAAATTTTAGCTGGGAGAAGAAAATTTAGAAGCATCTCGGAATAAATACTGGCACCTAAGATTTTCACTGAAGGACAGCCCAAGGCACTGAAGCTGGCCAAGGGCTGGCTGAGAAAAGCTGTCATGGAGGAGGCCCAGCAGAAGGGCCACAGTTGTGCACCTGAAACTAATACATAATAATATTGAATGTTAATCGTAATTAAGTTTTTAAAAGTGCCACAAACACAGACTTAGGAGTTGAAAACTGAGACCAAGTAACAGTCCTTGAGTTGGAGCTAATGACTGATGAAATTGTACTTAATCATGGCTCTAAGAGAAGCTTTGTTGTAATTGTAATGAGGCCAAATTAAGAGACTCCAACCCCCATACTAAGCTCTTGAAAAGTTCTTATTTTTAATCTAAAAAGCTCCATTTTATCCTCCAAAGTCTTTTTTATTGATTGATTTGAGAGAGACAGACAGACAGACAAGGGGAGAAAGAGAGAGAAACCTTGATTTATTGCTCTACTTATTGATGTATTCATTGGCTGACTCTTGTATGTGCTCCAGCCAAGGACTGAACCCACACCCTTGGCGTATTGGGATGATGATCTAACCAACTGTGCTCCCCAGCCAAGGGCCCCTTCAAAGTCTTTCAACAAAGGAAAAATTAGTGTTTACAGGTTATCTCTACTTTTGTTATGCCTTTTTTTATCTTTTCAAGTATTTCACAGTTATACAAAAATGTGATGAGATTAGGAACTGAATATTTAAAACCTGAGGTTCAGTGTCCCTTGTTCTCAGCATCGTAGTTGTCTCTAGACTCACTATACCGTGCGCTCCTTGAGAGCAAGTACTTGGTGCTGGTACCAAGTTTCAGGCTGCTGTTACTGTGAGACTTTTCTCAAAAGTGATTAGCATTTGATTTTAGCCGCAGCAACAGCACTAGAACTAAGAGATACAGATATGTGTGTATGTGTGTGTTACAATTTACGTAAATTTTATTTCAGGAGGAAATGAGAATGTTCAGGATGCGAGTCCAAGAAGTGGTGAAAGAAAATAAAGAATTGCACGAACAGTTAAATAAGAGTAGTCCTGTTACCAGTGAGGAATGGCAAGTGGTGTTGTATTTCTGGTATTTTACTGATTTAAAAAAAAAAAAAAGATAATAGGAATAAACTTTATTTAATCATCAAATGCATTTTCTTTTTTAAACTAAAATATTTTAAGGGAGAGCTTCTAAGAAATTAGTAAGGTACAGTGAACTCTAGCAGTTTATTCTAAACTTGTATTTTAAAGATTAGTCTAAAAATTCTAAGTAGGTTTTTAAACCTGAATTATATTTGCTGTCCCCATTTTTATCTCCTAAGGTTGTATTTTTCTAGGGTGCTTTTCCCACCCCAAACCTGTGGGGTCACCGTCTTTCTTAGACCCCTGCAATTGCTCCCAGGGCTTTTAGAGCAGTCAGTCCAGGATGCAGCCCTGCACAGCCCTCTTCCCTCAGTGTTGTCCCACCCTGTCCTGTCCTGTCTGCCCTATGCAGGCCTTCCTTCCATTCTCTGACAGCTAAGTGTTGCCTCACTTCCATCCTGTGGCTGATACTGCTCCCTACCCCCGAATGCCCCCTCCTCACTACTATTCATATATGAGCCCCACCCCGCAAAATGGCACTGGTAAGCAGTTATTCCTATAGGCAGGGTTAATTGCTCTCTTGCCTCAGTTTCTGACCTAGCCTTTAAACACACATCCTGTTCTCATACCTGCCACACACCAGCAGCCTGTGTGTTCTACATTTGTCTCCTCCTTCTCCTTTGTGAGCTCCTCAAGGTCAGAGCTGCGTCCTATTCATCCACACAGCAGCAGCAAATGCCTGTTCAGTGAATTTGAGAAAGTGAATGTCTTCAAAAGTCTAAAGGAATATCCGGGCAAGATTAAGAAAGCAAAAACTATTCAGATAGATCTTTTTTGCTTTTTGTAGGTATGTTACGTTTAGTATTTTTTTAAGCATGTCAACATTACTGCAAAAAAATTAAGTATTTCCATATGTGAGAGTCAGAAATTCAGAAGTGAGTCAAAAGCATTCTTACTGGTATGTCAGTTCCCCCGACATTATGATCACTGATGTGTCAGTTGGGACTGGCCTGGGCAGCTGCTGGATCTTGGTGCACCCTCACTTCTCCTCTTGAACTTGGATTTTCTTCTGTCAGGTTTCCTAGTCTGTCTCCCTTCACACCCTCCTTGAGTAGCTCCCTGGAAAGCAGGTCAGTTAGAATGGGCCTCTCGTGCCTCCACGAGTCCTTGTGAGAACCTGGAACCTCAGTTACTTTTTCTAACCTTGTATATAGCTGTACGTCAAACCTGTTTAGTTTTCCTTTTTTAAAAAAAAATTTTATTTATTTTTAGACAGAGGGGAAGGGAGGGAGAAAGAGAGGCAGAGAAACATCAATGTGCGGTTACCTCTCGCACACCCCACACTGGGGACCTGGCCTGCAGCCAGGCATGTGCTCTGACTGGGAATCAAACCGGCGACCCCTTGTTTGGCAGGCTAGCACTCAATCCACTGAGCCACACCAGGCAGGGCAGTTTTTGTTTTTGTTTTAATTAGTATGTATGTATTTATTTATATTTTTTTCCAGTACCATTTCTCCCCCTTATACCCTCCAGCTCCTCTATAATTACCATACTGTTCTCTATGTTTATGAGTCCTTTTTCCTTTTTACTCAATCCCTCTGCTCCCTAACCACCCTCCCCAGAGCTGTCAGCCTGCACTCTATGAGTCTCTCTCTCTGTTTTGCTTGTTAGTTCAGTTTGTTCATTAGATTCCACATATGAGTGAAATCATATGGTATTTGACTTTCTCTGGCTTATTTAACTTAACATAGCATTCTCCAGGTCCATCCATGCTGTCACAAAGGGTAAAATTTTCTTTTTTACAGCTGAGTCGTATTCCATTGTGTAAATGTCCCATAGTTGTTTTATCCAGTCATCTATTGGACACTTGGGCTGCTTCCATATCTTGGTAATTGTAAATAATGCTGCAGTGAGCACAGGGGTGCTTATGTTGTTTCGGGATTCTTCGGATAAACTCCCAGAAGTGGAATTGCTGGGTCATAAGGCAGTTCCATTTTAAATTTTTTCAAGGTAACTCCATGCTGTTTTCCACAGCGGCTGCACCAATCTGTATTCCCACCAACAGTGCACAAGGGTTCCCCTTTCTCCACATCCTTGTCAGCACTTGTTTGTTGGTTTATTGATGACAGCCATTCTTGCCAGTGTGAGGTGATATCTCATTGTGGTTTTAATTTTTATTTCTCTTACTTTTCCTTAAAATAAAAACAAATAAATAAATTTTAAAAAGACAGATCTTGCCTTCAAACGCATGAGCCATATTCCCAATCCTGAGTTTATTGGCATTTGAAATTTGGACCCTGCTCAGGTGTGGTGGGCTGTGCTGTTTGGGTGAACTTTAGGTCTGTTCAGTGCCTGTTGAGCCGCCCACCCCCACCAGCTACCCGCTTCCTTGAATTGACTGTCCTCCAGTTGGGCGTGCGGGCCCTGGCCTCTGGAGCATAGCACTGCTGAAGCCTCTTACAGCCGTGTGCTTCCCCCGCCTCCTTGGCTGCGGCTCCCCTGGCGCACAGGTGTGAGACACAGTGCCTCCTCGCCAGAGCCTCAGAGCCTCGGGCACAGTGACTTTGCACTTCAGTAGAAGCTTTTTCCTTAGTTTCAAATGAAGTACAATGAACTTCTGGGCTGCAGCTTCTTTTCCTAACTTCCTCTGACCAGGTGTATAACCTCAGGCTAGGTTTCTTTACCTATAAAATGGGAGCGAGTGCTAAACTAGATCTGAGGTTTTCATCTCTTTTGTAGAAATGGGATCCCTTTCCTTTAAAAAAGAAAGAAGGGAAGAAAAGAAGATTGGAGGGAGGGAGGGGAAAAAGGGAAGGAGGAAGAAAGTAAGTCTTATAAGGAAGTCCAAAACGGGCAAGCGGAGCTGCTCTGTGTAAGGCAGGAATGAGGAGGCTGGAGCTGTCCAGCCAGGGACAGCACCCTTCCTGGGCAGATGGTAGGCCTTCTTAGCTTGATTCCTTTCATCTTTTTTCTCCTTCTTCCACCTCATTTTTTTACTTTAAAGTGGGAAATTGAAATAATTTACTGGTTTATAGTGTACATTGGTTGGTAAACATTTATCTAGATCTTCAAGGTCCTTTCAGCCCATTCTGATTGGAACTTGTGACCTTGAAGGTTGAGCTGGGCTGGCATATACTGACCACCATCTGTAAGGAAAGGGTTTGCTTGTAATGAAATTAGGCTGGGGACTCTCAGTACAGTTTAAGGAACTGTCCAAAGGCTTTTAACAAAGCTCTTGTTTTTTTGTAACATATGCTACTGATTATAAGTGAGTATTTTTAAAATTAAAATGGGAACTTTCTAAATTCTTTAAAAATATTTGATGTTGGCTTCAAAATAAACCAGTGATTGGGGGGATTGGAGTTTTGTGTAAATGAAACAAGATTGGCCATTTGATAATTGTTCAAGCTGGGTGTTTTATACATGTGAGTTTATCATTCTCTTCTTTCTACTTTTGTGTATGTTTGGAATTTTACATTTCAAAAAGTTACTAAGAAGTTCATAATTCAAACTTCATTACTGTCCTTTCTCCTAATTTATTGCACATGGTGGGATTAATGTGTTAATAACATGTTTAGCATTAAAACATGTCCAAATATTCATTCCCTACAACATCAGTTACTTTCTTTTAGACTTGGAGTGTCTCTGTAATCATTCAGCACCTGAATGGCAGTGTTTAATTTTGTAAATCAATTGTAGGCATCAGCTTCAGATTCAGGCGGAACTGGTTTTAGAGGAAAACAGGCTGTTGATAGAACAGTTGGAGATTCAGCAAAGAAAAGCCAAGGATACCCAGCAGGAGCGTCTCCAGGAAGGTGAGCTGTCTTTCCAGTGAGTAGTGGTAATGCTGTGGTGTCATTGTTATGTCATTGTACACTTGCACCCCCATTCCAGTAGGGTCCCCCCTTCAAATTGGAAGTAGAGGAAATCATATTTTTTACAATACATGTTTCTTTACTGAAATGCAGTTGTTTATGTTATAACATATCCAGCCATTATCCATAATGAATTGATTGCTTTCTCTTAGACTCCACAGTGTCACTTTAATTGTTCTATATATTTTGTAAATCACTTGTAGGTGATAGGTTTAGAATCAGTGAATCTGGTTTTAAGGGAAATAGCACCATATAAATAGGAAGAATTATGTGAAGTGAATAATTTGAAATAATACAATGATCTGTACCTGAATATTTGTTGAATGAGTAAATAAGTAGAACCATTTGATTTCTAAACAGTCTCTCTGTGCTCTTGTCCTTTCTTCAGAGCAATAGGTACTGTTGAAGTTAAATCTCTGTCAGATAGTTTCATGATCGCCCCTCTCCTTCTGGGTTGCTCCCTCTCTCCTTAGGAGCCTCACAGTATATAACAGTGGACTTGGAAATGGGTCAGGTTGAGTCATTTTTTCCACTTTCATTAAAACCAAAATTTATGAACAAAAAGATAGTGGGGTTTTTTCCTTTTGCTTTACTGATTTTTTTTTCCAATGAAGAATAATGTAGGACAGGAGGCCTAAATACAAGCTGTCTTGCATGAGCTGATATAACCCCTCTTTTGTTTTCCTTTCTGCACCTGATTATTAAACCACTCCCCCTTCTTCACTGAGGAAGAGTTAACTGCTAGCCTCTCCTGTTGCCGAAGCCACTAGGCTAGCACTTCATTTGTTTCTGATGGCCAGATCAGGCTTAAAAATGAGAGCATCTCTCAGAGTCCAACAGGAGTTTCCTCCACAGGACTTCTCCACTCCCTAACTTTATGTGGCACAAAAGTATATGCTCTTACTCTGGCATTATTTGTGGGGGATGGGAGACAGTGTTGTTGAGCCTCCCATCTTTGCTTTCAATATTAGAGAGAACAGGGAAAATTAATTTTATATTCACTAAGCTTATACTTTTTTCAAACATAGCAGATCTGAACAGGTATGATGATTCTTCTGGTCATGTGGAGCAGAGCCAACCTTTTGGCCTCTATGATTCAGTCAACTGCCTCTTATTTTTCTGTTTCCCAGAAACAGCTATTCATGTTGATCAACTAAAAAATTTTTTAATCCTCACCTAATGGCATGCTTATTGATTTTAGAGAGAGGGGAAAGGAGGAAGAGAGAGAAGAAAAACATGGATGCAAGAGAGAAACATTGATTGGTTGCCTCTCCCATCCTCCTGACCCGGGACCAAACCTGCAACCCAGACATGTGCCCCAACCAGAAGTCAAACTTGTGACCATTTTGTTCATGGGACAGGGCTCCAACCAACTAAGCCACAGCTGCCAGGGTGATCAACTAAATGTTTTAATGCAGTATAAGAGTTTAAAGTTTTATGCTATACTACTTCTATGTACTAGTTTCAACAGATACCCAGGAAGTATCTCATTATTACATAATACTATGACACATAGGATGAAGTATTTATGATTTACTTTAGATATAGGACATAAAACATAAAAACTTAATGAGAAAAGGAAAGAAAAATAATAAATTTGGGTCTTAGTTTGTGTTACTGAACAGTGTCCACTCAGCACTAGCAGAGCTGAACACCAAACACTGAGAATTGCAGTGAAAAAAGACTCTCTTATTTTATTATGAATGGCATCATCCAGGAAAAATGGGAAGCTAACACTCAAAAACCTGAACTCTAGATAGTTTACAGACAAGGGCTTTTATAGAGTGAAATCATAGTCATCATGAGTGAGGGATTTGGGGTTATTGGTCTTGCTTGTCGGTCAAGAGTGAGGTAAGCCCAATAAACCATAATTTTAGGTCTTGAAGTCAGCTTTGGGGTCCCTCAGTCTGGTTTCATGAGGACATGGCCAGAGGTCATTCCACTTTGGAAGTCAGGAGCTGAAACACAACTTAGGCCATGATGTTATCTTTAGCTTACATGGAAACCCATACCTTGTGATCCTTAGTCAAGGTTTGGCCATTGTTTCTGGCTGCCTCAGTGGGTTAATGACTCAAAAGGGAAAGGGCTAAGGCTTAACTGGACATGCTGTTAAGAAACTGAGTAGAGTGCTGGGGCTCCATATGAAATCAAAATCATACATTAAATTAGGATCCTCGATTTTACTTGGCCATATTTGATATCCTTGAAAATCTTGCAGTTGTAGGGACAACATCATGATGTATGCTTGCCTACCTACATATGACTTAAGGTTGCAGTCTTTAGAGAGTTTCTTGAAGACTAGAATCATGTCTTACTAAATATTGTATATTTAACAATTATATCAAGATATTGAACCTCAATTAGAGAGTTTGTATTTAGTCAGTGCTTAATATAGGGACAGTAATTACTGAGTACAAGGCCTTTGGTAGTAATTTATAAATCTCCAAAAGATTTTTAAAATATTGGCTGTTGTCAATGAAGATGTTGGAGGAGTGAGTGGAAGTCACACTGACCTCCTCCCAGGACCACTCTGGAATTACAACTAAATTGTGGAGAAATCACCTGGAACAAACAACTGAACAATAGCGAGAGAGGAGCCTTATACCCTTGGAGACAGAAGAATCAGCTTTAGCTCAGTTTAACTGCAGCCATCTTACTCAGGCAGAGACCCTCCCCTGCGAGGCAGCAGCGTGACAGGACCCAACAACCCTGCCCCCAGGAGGGACTTGCCCCACCCTGTGGTGCATAAGCCTGACTGCTGAGTGCAGAGTGCAGAGTAGATTAACAGCTGATAAATATTCTGTATAATGGTTTTAAATCTTTTAATATATTATACTTGACATTTAAAAAATAAATAAAATCAATCTGTATTTAAAGAAAGAAAAGTAGGGAGGGAGGGAAGGAGGGAGGGAGGGGGGGAGAGAGAGAAAAGAAAGAAAGAGAGAGAGAGAGAGAAAGAAAGAAAGAAAGAAAGAAAGAAAGAAAGAAAGAAAGAAAGAAAGAAAGAAAGAAAGATGGAACTCCTACATTTTGCGACAATATGGATGGAACTGGAGAATATTATGCTAAGGGAAGTAAGTCAGTTGGTGAAAGACAAATATCATATGATCTCACCTATAAGTGAACTCTATTCAACAAAATAAACTAATGAACAAAATAAACCACAGCCATGGAAACATGGAGCAGACTGAAGTGACCAGAGGGGATGGGGAAAGAGGACAATGGTGGAAAGAAGGGGAAGGGACTAGACAAGGAGCATGTATGAATGACCCATGGTCGTGGACAACAGAGTGGAAATTGACTGGGGGAGCAGGGGGTGGGATGGGTGGAGGGGGGTAAAGGGGGAAAAACTGAGACAACTGTAATAGAATAAACATGATTTAAAAATTTAAAAAAGATGCTCAATGTAATAAAACATGACATCCTACCTTAAAAAAAAAATTTATAAAAGATCAGTTTTTTTATACATTGACTATCATTACTATTAACGTAGTAATCAATAATCATGTTTGCCTTAACCGGTGTGGCTCAGTTGGTTAGGTGTTGTCCTGTGAAGCAAAACACCACCAGTTCAATTCCCAGTCAGGGCACATACCTGAGCTGCGTGTGGGGTTTGGTCCCTGGTCGAGGTGTGTTTGAGAGACAACCAATCAATGTTTCTCTCTCACATAGATCTTTCTCTCTCCCTCTCTTTCCCTCTCCCCCATCTCTAAAAAATACATACATACATACATACATACATAATCATGTCTTATTAATTTTCCTGTACCAAGACTTTATTCATCTCCTTTGTTTTTTTAGTTTCTAAACTGACTAAACAACTAATGCTTCTGGAGACTAAAACACAGAACCAAGAAAAGGAGCTAACCAAAAGCAAGGAGCAACTGGAAATTTTATGTGCTGAATGCCAACAACTAAAAACACAGTTGGATGACAAAATAGCAATGAAAGTTCATACTTCAATTGTAAATGAATTACAAAGGTAAGAATTTAATGTCTTTTCAAGTGTTGATGCATCACAATGTTGTTATATGCAGAGTGGAGAGATACTACAACACCTCTGCTTTTTTTTTTCCTTTTAATTTTTTGTTCTGTCTTTTTCTGAGTCTCTTGGCTGCATGAGCACAAGTGTTGGAGTCTAAGAATGGTAAATACTGTATTAAAGTAGAATATGGATGTCCCTGAGGGCTGCACTCTGCACTTTGTATGTGTGTGTATGATTTTTTTTCTTTGCTGTTCCAGCCTTTATTGATTTTAAAACCAGAGATAATTTAAAGGAGTAGAACTGGAAGCCTAGATATCCAGTAATAAGGAACTTGTTAAATGAAAGGATACAACCATAAAATGAAATACAACAGTCATTAAATAAGTAATGTCACCAAAGATTATTTTTCACACGGAAAAATAGCTTGTAGTGCTAAATATTTTTTATTTTATATTATACGTAAACTACACAAAAATGCCTTTTGCTAAGTAAAAGACACATTTTAGAGAAAGGGATTTTCTTTAAAGTATGCTTTATTGATTATGCTATTCCAGTTGTCCCATTTTTTTTGCTCCCCTTTGTCCCCCTCTGCCCTGCGCCTCACCTCCCACCAGCATTCTCACGCCTTAGTTCATGTCCATGGGTCATACATATAAGTTCTTTGGCTTCTCCATTTCCTATACTATTCTTAACCTCCCCCTGTCTATTGTGTGCCTATCAATTATGCTTCTTTTTTTTAATAGTTTTTTTATTATTTTTTTATTTATGAATCATGTTAATTCTATTACAGTTGTCTCAGTTTTTCCCCCTTTACCCCCCTCCGCTCATCCCACCCCCTGCTCCCCCAGTCAATTTCCACTCTGTTGTCCACGACCATGGGTCATTCATACATGCTCCTTGTCTAGTCCCTTCCCCTTCTTTCCACCATTGTCCTCTTTCCCCATCCCCTCTGGTCACTTCAGTCTGCTCCATGTTTCCATGGCTGTGGTTTATTTTGTTCATTAGTTTATTTTGTTGAATAGAGTTCACTTATAGGTGAGATCATATGATATTTGTCTTTCACCAACTGACTTACTTCCCGTAGCATAATATTCTCCAGTTCCATCCATATTGTCGCAAAATGTAGGAGTTCCATCTTTCTTTCTTTTTCTTTCTTTCTTTCTTTCTTTCTTTCTTTCTTTCTTTCTTTCTTTCTTTCTCTCTCTCTCTCTCTCTCTCTCTCTCCCCTCCCCCTCCCTTCCTCCTTCCTTCCCTCCCTCTCTACTTTTCTTTCTTTAAATACAGATTGATTTTATTTATTTTTTAAATGTCAAGTATAATATATTAAAAGATTTAAAACCATTATACAGTCTCAGTAGTTAAACCAACATGACACCAGCCCAGAAATAATCAAGTAGATCAATGAAATATAATGAGCATTCTAGAGACAAATGTATATATCTGATTAATATATGTATGATTAAGTTGATATTTCAAATCAATAGATAAAATAAGGCTTATTCAACAAATAAGGTACATGGACCACTATTACTTGAAATAAAACAAATATAGAACCCTATTTCACACGTTATCCAAGAAATATTCAGGTGAGTTAAAATTCAATATGTAGACTCTAAGGAGTTTTAGGAGAAAATACAAACTAATATTTTTCATGACCTAAAGTAAAATATTCAACCCCAGAAGCTATAAAGTAAATATTGACAATATTAAACATTTAGCTATATAGTAATATACATATAAAAAAAAGTTAAAGGACAAGTAATAGAATGGGAAAGTATTTGCCACACATCTAAAAAAAAGGGTTAATAGTTGTTGTTGTTGTTGTTTTTTATGGAAAACAATTCTACAAACCTTTAATCGATAAATGGATAAAGAATACCAAAAAGTCATTTAAAGCTTTTTAAAAAAAATAATAGAAATAGGCAAGAAATATACTAAAACAGGTTTAGTTTCAACAAATAGTAAAGGAACAATTAAAATAACACATCATTGTCACAATCAGATTAATATGTATTAAAAAATATTGGTAATATCAAGTTTTGGCAACTGCAAAAAGAACTGGGTATTCATAGAAATTTTTCTTCATCTGAAAGCAGTCCCTTTAGCATATTTTGCAGTGCTTTGGTGGAGGTGTAGTCTCTTAGCCTTCTTTTGTCTGGGAAACTCCTTATTTTGCCTTCCATTTTAATTGAGAGCATTGCTGGGTAGAGCAGTCTTGGTTGCAGGCCTTTGCTTTTCATTACCTGGAATATTTCTTGCCATTCCCTTCTGGCTTGCAGTGCTTCTGTTGAGAAGTCAGCTGTTAGCCATATCAGGGCTCCCTTGTATGTTACTACCTCTTTCTCCCTTGCTGCCTTTAGGATTCTCTGTTTGTCTTTGATATTTACCATTTTCATCATGATGTGTCTTGGAGTGGGCCTCATTGGGTTCCTCTTGAATGGGACCCTCTGTGCTTCCTGGGCTTGTGTGACTTTTTCTCTCCTCCAATTAGGGAAGTTTTCCATCATTACTTTTTCAAACTGGTTCTCTATCCCTTGCTCCTCTTCTTCTCTTTCTGGTATCCCTATTATATGGATATTATTATTTTTCAGGTTGTCTTGCATTTCCCTAACACCTCTTCATTCTTTTTGAGTCTTTTTTTTTTTTCCCTTCCATTTTCTTGCTCTTTCTGGGAGCTTTTTTCTACCTTGTCCTCCAGCTCGCTGATTCGATCCTCGGCTTCATCTAGCCTGCTTTTGATTCCCTCTACTGTGTTCTTCAACCCAGAAATTATATTCTTCATTTCCTCTTGCCTCTTACCGATAGTTTCTATGTCCTTTTTCATGCTGAAGTTCCTTGCAGTAAGCTCCTCATAGTTTCCCTGTAGTTTTTGGTAATTCTCTCTGAGCTCACTGAGCTCATTGAGCTTCCTTAGAACCGTTGTTTGGAACTCAATATCTGATCGTTTACTAGTGTTTATTTCATTTAGTTCTCTTTCTGGGGATTGCTCCTTTCCCTTAGAGTGGGGGGTATTTCTTTGTCTTCCCATTATTTGTGAGACACTGCTTTTTTGCTTCTGCTTCTTAAATTGATCTGTCTTGATCTCCTGACTTTGTGGTGTGAACTTCTATGGTAGGAAACTGCTGTTTTTTCTTTCTGGATCTGCCTCTGATGATGTCAGATGTTGACCCTGTCTGACCTTAGGCAGTCTGTTTGAGATTTCCAGGAATCTACTGTCCGTGGCTGTCACCTTCAGCTGTTAATCTACTCTGCACTCTGCACTCAGCAGTCAGGCTTATGCACCACAGGGTGGGGCAAGTCCCTCCTGGGGGCAGGGTTGTTGGGTCCTGTCACGCTGCTGCCCCCTCGCAGGGGAGTGGTCTGCCTGAGCAAGAAGGCTGCTGCCGTAATGGGGGAGGAGTGAGCACAAGGATCCCATCCAGCTACTTACTCTATTCTTTCCCCAAAACCTCCTTCCCCAGTCTCTCAGGCGTCTCTACCCCACTCTGCCCCTGCCTTTGCCAGAGACCAGGGTAAGTGGCTGCAAATAAAAGTGTGTGCTTTGGCCCCTTAAATGGCTCTTTGCATCGCCAGCCATCCGTCTCTAGCAGAGAGCAACTCTACCACTTTTCGCAGCTGCTGTTATCTGTGTACTCTTTTGGCTCTGGTGCTGTAGGCTGGAGATCCCTACTTATGGTTCAGATCCCGTTCTTCTCAGGGGGATCCAACTGGCCATTTAAATATACCTCTGGTGGTGCTGCCTGTGGGTGCCCAGCCCCTCTTTTCTAATTTCTACTGCAATCCTTACCAGTTAGGTTGTGCTAAAGCCAATTCCTCTGTCTGTCTGAGGTTATATGGCTGGCTCCTCTCTCACTGTTGTTCAGTTGTTTGTTCCAGGTGATTTCTCACAATTTAGTGTTAATTCGATTGGCTCTGGGAGGAGGTCAGTGTGACTTCCATTCATTCCTCCACCATCTTGAAGTTCCTGTTCTTTCTGGAGTTTTGATCTGTTCTTTCATTTGGGCCATATTTTATCTGTGCTCTCCGGTTACATTGTAAGGGGCAGAGCCTTAGGTATTCTCCAGGGTGGGGCAACCCACTTTGCTGTGTTGTGGCACTCTATGTGAGGGAGGGGTCAGAGAGGAAACTATGCCACTTGCTTGGCTCTCTGCCAGCTTTCAGTTACTTTCTCCACTACCTACAAGCAAATTGGGCCCTTCTGTTGCTGATTGCTGGGTGGGTGGGTTTGTGTACGTTCTAGAACCCTGTGTGTCTCTCCAACAGACTCTACTGTGAGGCTGAGAGTTTCTCTTGCCACCTCAACCCCCAGAGGTTTTTTACAACTAGAGATTTTGAGGCTTTCTTTTCCCGCGCTGGAACGCTGGTTTTCACAGTCTGTCTGACTCCCAGTTGTTCCTCCTGGTTTATCTGAATGCAGATATAGAACTTCCGCATTTTCCAGCTGCTGCCTCACCCACTGGTCCTCTAGCCACCACCTTGCCACACATCTCTCCACCCCAGCTGCCCGTCCCCACCCCTCCTACCAGTCTGGATGAATATTTCTTTTTTAACTCCTTTGTCAGACTTCCATACAGTTTGATTTTCTGGGAGTTCTGGTTGTTTTTTGTTTTTAAATTTGTTGTTGTCCTTTTGAGTGTGCGAATAGGCAAAGTGTATCTACCTAGGCCTCCTTCCTTGCCAGAAGTCAGTTTATTGTTGTTTTATTACAGTTGTCCCAATTGTCCCCCTGCCACATTGCCCTCCCCTGCCCTGTCCAGCCCCTCACTTCAGTTTTATATGATAGCTTTTCTGGGTAAAGTAGTCTTGGTTGTAGGTACTTGTTTTTCACCACCTTGAATATTTCATGCCAATCCCTTCTGGCCTGAAATGTTTGTTCTGAAATCAGATGATAGTCTAATGGGAGCTCTTTGTTGGTAACTAACTGCTTTTCTCTAGAGGCTTTTAAAATCCTGTTCTTGTCTTTAAACTTTGCCATTTTAATTGCAATGTGTCTTGGA